ATGATCAAGGGATATCAACCGTGAAATTTCACCCTTATTCACCATGATTAAGCATAGATTACCATTTAATATCATTTAATTATTAACCATAGATTACCACAGATTAACCATAGATTTTCATAGATTACCATAGATTGCCCATAGGTTAACCAATTTAACCATAGATCAAAGGGATAGCAATGGATTCAGCTTCCATTCACCGCCTCCATTTCCGACTCACCATTCACCGAGGCAATGTAGTCACAGGGCTCCACCTTTGGGCCACGGCGGCGACGGGGCCATGGTTTGAAACCATGGGAGATGTGACCATTTAACCACCAATCATTGGGGTTTAAATGCTTTTCTACATGGTTTAATTTAATGATGTTTTTTACACGTTTAATAACTATGAGAAATTATGGAAGTGAACCAGGATCGAATTGGAATCAAGTTTGGGCACGTTTTTTGTTGATCACCTGCTGAAAGTCTGTAACTTTTAGTGGGGCAAATGGTACGTAAACATACGTAAATAACATGTCGAGTCTATCTTTGAAAAAGATGAAAAACTAAGTAGCTAAAAGGGACCATAAAATGTGGGTGCTCAAAAGTGATTGTATGCAATATACAAGGTGTGGAGTAGTTTGAAACCAAACAAATGAGGAATATACTGAGGTTACTGTAGAGCAATGAAATTTAGGAGCTGAGTCAACTCGAATGAGGAATCAAAGAAGCAAATCATGGCATGTCTGTGCTTGGTAAATCTACATTGAATTTTGACTAGCAATGCTGGGATAGGATGGACCCTGTGTTTGGGTCTTTTAACCAAACTCAGTAGACCTCAAACCCAGTGAGGCCGTGAGGCCTCAAAAAATTCAAGGAGGTGCCGAACAGCTCAGTGGAAAGCTTGAAAATCCCTATTGTTTGATGATACCAAAGGGCACGGCCCCACCTTCGCGAAGGAGTTCTCCGCGTTCCATTGGTCCAATTTGCCTCCCGGAGCCTTGGCGGCCGGATGTCAGCGGACGTCCATCTTCCAGAAATGGCAGTGGGAACTGGTGGACTGGTGCAGTTCATGGTGTGGAACCGCTGAGGATGAGACGATCATGTTGATGTAGAGCATATCTGGCCTCGGAAATCTCATGTGGGAACCCCCAAGCTTTCGCATCGAATGTTCGGATCAAAGGACCCCGAGGCCGAATATAGATATAGACATATAGATATACAATTTACACATTATATACAGTATATATATGTGTGTATATATATATATAATGTGCGTATAATGTGTATATCATGTATATATAGGATGTACTGTAAATATAAAGAGTATGTATATACATATAGATATATATATACATATATACAGTGTATATATGTATATAGCGTGCACGTATACCTATAGTTGTAGAGAGAGAGATATATATATATATAATACATATGTATATATATATGTATATATATGGCAGTATAGCAAACATATAATTATATACATGTTCTTTTTTATTATTTACTTCAATTATTGTACTTTTTTCGAGACATCAAGACATCCAGCTATCCAGCCACCATTTTTCTGCACCCTGCCACCTTTCCCACTGGCGCTGCATGGCGGTAGTCGCACTATACATAGCCATCGGTGGTTTGAGGCACTTCCATGCAAAAGTGAAAACATAGAACTTCTTTGGGCCCTCTGCGGACCAGTTCTTGCAAGCAGCTTGGCTGCCATCCATGCGGATGTCCCGTGGAATGCTTCGCAACCATGGCTGTGACCATGAAATAGCATGGCATTGTGATACACCATGGTCAGTTTCCCGAGCTATCCACACATGTTAACACCATGCACCGGGGACTCTAACAAGAGTATACAAGAGTTGTTTATCAAGTGGTACAGTATGTTTCCATGTATGACATGAGATAACACCATTTTCATCCAGCGACTTCCTTCCATAATTGGGATGCACATCCAAGGGCGCAAAAAGAACGGACATCAAGAGGCCGGCCTGGTGAAGCCTTGTGGACAGGAGCGCTGGCGTATCACCCAATGGAAACACGGATACTGTTGCATCAACATGTGCTTACGTGGTGGTTTGGGTTGGTGGTTTGGAAGTCTGGGAATTGATGATTTTGTGAACCTGGAACCAATCTAATACTATCAAACCCTGTAAATAAAAGCTTAACAGCACTTTTTAAAAAATAACACAAATTGTTATTATATTATTATTGCTAGTTTTCGAAACTTTATATACCTGAGAAAAAAAATCACTATTATTTCACTTGGTTGTTTACTTTATTGCTAACAATTTATACTTTCCTTCTTACTTCACTGTTTATTACGTTGGCTAATTATTACATGGAGTATCCATAAAACCTACATCAAACCTCCATATGTCCTCCATGGAACCTCCATCAAAACTCCATCAGTTAGACTACATGAGAGAACCAGCAAGTGTAGATACAGGGGCCTTTAAAACATCCATGAAACCAACATCAAACCTCCATGGAACCTCCATCAAACCTGCATCAGCAAGTGTAGATACAGGTGCCTTCAAAACCTCCATGAAACCTACATCAAACCTCCATGTATCCTCCATGGAACCTCCATCAAACCTGCATCAGTCAGACTGCATGAGAGAACCAGCAAGTGTAGATACAGGGGCCTTCAAAACCTCCATGAAACCTACATCAAACCTCCATGTATCCTCCATGGAACCTCCATCAAAACTACATCAAAAATGTTCAAAAGGTAGTGATGCAAACGGATGTCAAATCGATCGCAAATCGATCGTTATCTGATCGTAAAATATGCACTAAAGAATGTAATAGCATGTGTGCATTTTGATGCCGCTTTCAGTGGGCAATAGATTCATAGAGATACTTTTTCTTTTAGATAGATAGACTTAATTGGATTATATAATTAGATAGAGATTACTAGTAGCACAAATGGGTGGGACTTCCTGGTTTTTACGTTCTTCCGCCTGACGTGGCTGCAGAGGCAGGCTCAGGTTTCGGCGATGTTTTGCGATCATTTTGCGATGGTTTTACGATCGATTTGACATCGGCCTAGAAAAGAATATTAAGGCCACAAAACGCCATCAATACGACATCGATCAGAGCATGAGGCTTGCAGAAAACGACGCTTGCCAATTCATATGGTTTGACGATCAAAGAATTCAAGATACACACTTAGGGTTCGTTTCTGTTGGTGGTTTGGATATTTTTTATGGGCTTTGGAGCTGCGATATCCTAAGTTCAAAACCTCCATCAAATTGATATCAACCCAATCATAAAACTACATCAAAATGACATCAAGGCAAAATCCACACTTGACACTTGAAACCCTGGCCTTGCCAAAAAAAACAAAACCGCCAGGCAAAGAACACTTAAACTAAATGATAGTTCTGCAAGAGTTTGATTTTTCCAGAGCAGAAACCAAAAGTAACATCAATCAAAGGAGATTGCCCACTGAAAACGACATCAAAATGCACACATGCTATTACATTCTTTAGTGCATATTTTACGATCAGTTTACGATCGGTTTGCGATCGATTTGGCATCGATTTGCATCAATACCTTTTGAACATTTTTCTCATGTTGTGTGTTCCAGCTGATGCAGTTTTGATGGAGGTTCCATGGAGGATACATGGAGGTTTGATGTAGGTTTCATGGAGGTTTTGAGGGCCCCTGTATCTACACTTGTTGGCTCTCTCATGCAGTCTGACTGATGCAGGTTTGATGGAGGTTCCGTGGAGGTTCCATGGAGGATACATGGAGGTTTGATGTAAGTTTCATGGAGGTTTTGAAGGCCCCTGTATCTAAACTTGCTGGTTCTCTCATGTAGTGTAACTGATGGAGTTTTGATGGAGGTTCCATGGAGGATACATGGAGAATTGATGTAAGTTTCATTGAAGTTTTGAAGGCCCCTGTATCTACACTTGTTGGTTCTCTCATGTAGTCTAACTGATGGAGTTTTGATGGAGGTTCCATGGAGGACACTTCGAGGTTTGATGTAGGTTTCATGGATGTTTCAGATTTAGAGATAATTAGATTCGATAGATAGACAGACAGACAGACCGACAGATAGATAGATAGATAAACAGATAGATAGATAGATAGATGGATCGATAGATCGATCGATAGATAGAAAGAAAGAACAAAAGAAAGAAAGAAACAAAGAAAGAAAAAGAAAGATAGATAGATTGATAGGTAGATGAATATAGATGAATATAGATGAATATAGATGACAATAGATGAAAATAGATGAAAATAGATGAAAATAGAAAATAGAATAGAAAATAGATGAACATAGATGAACATAGATGAACATAGATGAACATAGATGAACATAGGTGAAAACAAGTGAAAAATATGAAAATAGATGAAATAGTTCAGAAATTAATAGAAATGAGATCCAACAAATCAAAACAAATAGGTATGTAATATTACAAAACAGAACGCAAACAATTTTCATAGTTTATAGTGTATATTGCATAAAACTCTGATTTCCCAGACTTCCAAACCACCAACCCAAACCACCATATAAGTGTAACCTGAGTTGCAAACCCCATCCGCCCCCCCTAAAAAAACATAATAAATCATAATTGCCCCATTTACTCTATCTCACCACTTTGGCCACTTTGGGTGTCTCCAAAACCATACCCAAGAAGAGAGTTATTGTATGTTATTATGATTTAGTGGGCCTTTCCTGCCGGACTACAACTGAGATACAACTGAGTACAACTGAGATACAACTGAGTTGGTCTGAAATACTAGAGAATTCCCAATCTCATGATCATCAGTTTCCCATATTTTCCCCATCAAACTGTCCATTTTTTGGAAGTCCATCATGCGATTCAAACTTTCCTGGCTCCGGTGGGGCTCCACGGCCGCAAGGCACTGCGCTATGGACGAAACTCTCAAGTCAGGTGGGAAAATCCGATGACATATCTTTAAATGATGTTCTTCATCAAGATTTGTAGAACCGATTATTAAGTTGCCATACAGTAGATGATATTACTACTTTCTTTCTCGAATGTCCCCATACTATATTTTGAAAATGAGCCATAGGTGGCGTACCCATGATCTTGGCAGTTCGCCTGCCGCCCCCGCGAGTGGCAAACGGCCACTCAGAAACGCTGCGTAGCCTGCGGCCAGGAGTTCACGTGTCCGAGGAAGGAACTAGTTCATGGGATGAACGTAAACCAACCAGCATAATTGGGAGGCCCTCAATGGAACCCATATTCTAGGGTCAGCACACAGCCCAGGGTGCTGATGCATAGTAGGAAGATGTAGGAAGTGTTCGAAGAAACACGGCAGGAAAAAAGAATCGGGTGTCCCTGAAATGACTTGGAAAATAATTAAATGAACATAACACGTGCTAGATGAGGGAGATGATTCCCATGGCCAATGTTGATTTGCCCAAGACAATCAAAGGCCCCACGCCAATATTGGCATGGCAAGTCATGAATATCCCATCGCCTCCGTTGAGCCAAGCAGTTCAGACCTAATAATTGGTTCATACATGATGTGCTCATAATGATCATCTCATGAATCCTTGGTTGGGAACCATGAGTTCAGAAAATGGCTATCAATGCTATCAAACAAATTGACCCCAGCAGTGGAATCGCGCAAGGATTTTTTTGACACCCAAGTTTATAGGTTATAGTTTATGCCTCTGAGAGCTCAGCAAGACCCCCTCCAGAACTAATCTCTGAAGACTGCTTGGCAAGGTCACTCGATCCAGGCTCTGTTTGACATTCCGATTGCAAGCCACGATATCAAAACCCATGCCAACACCCAAAGCCATGCTCGCCTGAGACGAATCTCCGACCGTCAAGCTTTGCAGCCCATTTGGCAAGCTCACGCGGTCCAAGCTCTGGTTGAACTGTAAGCCGAAAGTCAAGCTTCGAAGACCACTTGGCAAGCTCACCCGCTCCAGGCTCTGATTAAAATAGAAACCAAAAGTCAACCTTTGTAGAGAGCTTGGGAGGTTCACGTGGTCCAAGGTCTGGTTGAATGAATGACCGAAAGTCAAGCTTTGAAGACTGCTTGGCAAGCTGAATCCATCCAGCCTCTGGTTAAAAGAAAAACCAAATGTCAAACTTTGAAGACAGCTTGCAATTGGCAGACTGACACGGTCCAAGCTTTGGTTGAATGAAGCACCGAAAGTCAAGCTTTGAAGACTGCTTGGAAAGCTCACGCCGTCCAGGCTCTGGTCGAATGAACGGCCGAGAGTCAAGCTTTGAAGACTGCTTGGCAAGCTCACCCTGTCCAGGCCCTTGTTGAATGAGTCACCGAGATTCAAGCTTTGAAGACTGCTTGGAAAGCTCACGCGGTCCAAGCTCTGGTTGAAGGTCATGCCAAAAGCCAAGCTTTGAAGACTGCTTGGCAGGCTCATGCAGTCAATGATCTGGTTGAACGAACGGCCGAAGGCCAAGCTTTGAAGACTGCTTGGCAGACTGACACGGTCTAGGCTCTGGTTGAATAAATCACCGAAAGTCAAGCTTTGAAGACTGCTCAGCAAGCTCAATCCATCCAGCCTCTGGTTAAACGATGAACCAAACGTCAAGCGTTGAAGACTGCTTGGCAGGCTCACGTGGTCCAGGCTCTGGTCGAACGAAGGGCAGAAAGTCAAGCTTTGAAGACCGCTTGGCAGGCTCATGCGGTCAAAGTTCTGCTTGAACGAACGGCCGAAGGCCAAGCTTTGAAGACTGCTTGGCAGACTGACACGGCCTAGGCTCTGGTTGAATGAATCACCGAAAGTCAAGCTTTGAAGACTGCTTGGCAGACTGACACGGTCTAGGCTCTGGTTGAATGAATCACCGAAAGTCAAGCTTTGAAGACTGCTTGGCAGACTGACACGGTCTAGGCTCTGGTTGAATGAATCACCGAAAGTCAAGCTTTGAAGACTGCTTGGCAGACTGACACGGTCTAGGCTCTGATTGAACGTACTGCCGAGAGTCAAGCTTTGAAGACTGCTTGGCAAGCCGAATGTTAAGTTTTGAAGACTGCTTGGTAGGCTCACGCGGTCTAGGCTCTGGTTGAATGAATGACCGAAAGCCAAGCTTTGAAGACTGCTTGGCAGGCTCATGCAGTCAATGATCTGGTTGAACGAACGGCCGAAGGCCAAGCTTTGAAGACTGCTTGGCAGACTGACACGGTCTAGGCTCTGGTTGAATAAATCACCGAAAGTCAAGCTTTGAAGACTGCTCAGCAAGCTCAATCCATCCAGCCTCTGGTTAAACGATGAACCAAACGTCAAGCGTTGAAGACTGCTTGGCAGGCTCACGTGGTCCAGGCTCTGGTCGAACGAAGGGCAGAAAGTCAAGCTTTGAAGACTGCTTGGCAGACTGACACGGTCTAGGCTCTGGTTGAATGAATCACCGAAAGTCAAGCTTTGAAGACTGCTTGGCAGACTGACACGGTCTAGGCTCTGGTTGAATGAATCACCGAAAGTCAAGCTTTGAAGACTGCTTGGCAGACTGACACGGTCTAGGCTCTGGTTGAATGAATCACCGAAAGTCAAGCTTTGAAGACTGCTTGGCAGACTGACACGGTCTAGGCTCTGGTTGAATGAATCACCGAAAGTCAAGCTTTGAAGACTGCTTGGCAGACTGACACGGTCTAGGCTCTGGTTGAATGAATCACCGAAAGTCAAGCTTTGAAGACTGCTTGGCAGACTGACACGGTCCAAGCTCTGGTCGAAGGTACGGCCGAAGGTCAAGCTTTGAAGTGTGCGTGGCAACCTCAAGCGGTCTGGACTTTCAAAGCTTTCCAGGCAATTGGAGTGTTTCAGAGATGCCATTGGGAGACTTTCCATTTGCGTCACTCCCTCCAGTCCGAACTCCTCATCGGGGTGTGCATGTCCTCGAACGAAACACCATGCAGCATACAAGTCTGTGGGGCATAAGGTGCAGGACAAGGTTGCATCTTCGTCCACAATGCCTTGCTCTCGCAGGGTCTGATGGAGAATCAACTTGGCATTGCCATGGTATAAAGCAAGCTTTGCCCCTGGTTTTGATGGACGCTCCTCCAATACCATCCTTTGCACCTCCCGGCCCGGAATGCTGCTGGGGACCCTCAGCTCCAATGCTTCACCGTTCATGCGCAGCACCTGCAAATCCATCAAGTCATGCTGACTTCCGGGGGAAGCATAACCCGCGGAGGCCATGGTGGCCGCTAAGGCCGCTAAGGCAAGGAAGGCCCAAGGGATCCTCTTGTGGGTTCACCCTAAAAGGCCAGGATGAAAACATGTGAAAACCATCCACAAAACGCTGACATCTCTACCTTTGTTTCTGTTGTGCCAAATGGTTTTCGACCATCAAATTGTCTCCAAAGGAGTGGTCCGTGGTCCATTTGGTGGCTGGTTTGCCACACGAAAATCCGAAAAAAACAGCCACCAATCCCCCAAGTTTTTGGCACCTCAGCCCGAGGGGTTAAAAGCCTCCATCTTTTCAAGCAACGACTGCGCCTCGGGATCCACTGAGTCCACTGGAGGCTGAAGCGCCCTTGATTTTATTGTGGAAGTGCCTAAAGAGTTTTGGTGACTGAAATATGGCCCGGAAAACAAACCCAATTGCTTGTCACTTACCTTCTCTGTGATTTTGATAATGATTTGGCTTCTTGCCTCCATCCGTAGTATTTCAGTAGAGGTATCATCCACATCCTACTGAGTTCCCTTGATATCGGCCTGCTCAAAAAACCGGGTTTTCAGACCGCCATACAGCGACGGCCAGGGGCCAGACATAGTTCGGAGAGTAGTACTGTACAATCTCCGGCGGGTACTGCAAGTTGATGGTATCCACCATTTCCTTTTCCACTGCCAAAGCAGACATGTCTAGAACACTCGTCGATGGCTTGGGCAGGAGATGACACGAAATACACCTCTGCCATGCCGGGAGCAGATTCTGCTGAAAGTCACTTCCCCTCTTTTCTTTTCTTTCTACCAGACGTGCCCAAATCTCACAACCTGGGGAATCCTAAAAAGCCCAAATCGTTGCCCTGTTGGGTCATGGATTCGCTGTCAACGATTTGGGGAACCGGAGCGCCTGCAGTTTGGAACCTCGCTCCGCCTGCACCTGTGCAGGCAACGGCTGCCATGTTTCTGAATCGTCCTCTGTCAAAGTGTATGTCATTTTGCCGAGTTTCTGGACATCTATGGACATCTTGTATCACATCTTGTGATTTCAAGGTGTGCTTGATGTGTTCTTCTCTCCCCGCATTCAAGAGGGAAAAAACCATGTAGAAACAACTTGATCGGTGTGTTTCAATACTTTCCCAGTTGGGGATGTGTCAAAAATGGAAGCCCAATGAGCGCACATCTTTAGTTCTCAACCATCCATGATCATCCATGTGTGGCGCAATACCTTGACACATATATCATTATATCACATATCCATTTCATTTCATCCTTCCATCAGAGTTCTCATAATCCCAGTGCACTATGTAGACTATGTAGTCCCCAAGAAACAACCTTCCCCCCAAGATTAAAATACCCACCAGCCGAAAGCTGCACGATGTAAAAAACCGGATCTGTTCTCGTCAGGAACTTGTCTGTCCATTTCGATCATCTCCCGGGTGGGAGATGAATCACCAACCCCTTTTTGGGTTCAACAAGCCACACCCATCCCCCCTTTTTTCCCACTAAGCCAGTGAGTACTCGCCAATGTTTCCCAATATCCCAATGCTTATGAGTTTTATATCCAATCCGAACTTCAGTTCCGAACCCTCACCATTCTATCCCCATGAGATACCCATGAAATGATGAGTTCTATGCCCCTTCCCCCCAGCAACCCAGCAACAGCGCCACCTCCTGGAGCTTCTGCAAACTTCCAGACTGCACAAAGGCCTTGCGCGCCTCCATGTCGTTGGGTAAGACCTTGGCAAACAACTGCTGCACCACGTACCTCGCTCGCGCAGAGCGGTGGCGCTGGAGATGGGGAAAACTCTGTGGATCGCGCTGGTTGAATTAGGGAATACATAGGGCGATTTTGGAGTTCTTTGTTTCAAGCCTTAAGCCTTAAGCTTTCCTACGAAGTAAAGTTGCGGTTGCAGGCCACTTGGTCAAGGTTGAATGAGAGGGGCCAGGGTGTGCCCAGTGCAGAGCTTGTGCCAGGGCGGTCCGAAACGCCCAAGGCACTTCAAGATATTCGGTGGCGAGTCCAAAAGTGGTTCCAGCGCTGGCAGGTGTGCGCACTTCTGGATGACGCTCTTCCTGGGTCCGCAGCCCTCGAAACCGACGTCTCTGTTCTTCTTTTTCATGGTCAGCATTGCGCTTCACCAAACCATTGGCATCTCCAACAAATTGACAGATCTAAGATATCTAAGAGACCTTGATCTTCCAAATTCATCCAAATTCCCGACAGAATCGTTGACTCACAAAATTCTGGGGATTTTGCCAAACCTCGGCATGTGACAGGTCGAGTTTCAGGGCTCGCTTGGCTTTCAGTTGCAAATCTTCACTCGAATCCCGGTGCAGATAGACCGCCAAGATCCTGGCCCAATAGGAGATGATGGCGAAGTCTACAGAATTTCTTGCCATGTTTTCATATGGTTTCTACCCTCTGGTAATTTAACATAGCTATTGAAAATCACCATTTTTAATGGTAAAATCCACTATTAATGATCATTTTCAATAGCTATGTTAAATTACCAGAGGGTACACTTTCTTGGTCATTTCTATCCACCCGGTTTTCTGAAAATTGGGAAGCTTAGCCTCTATGGAAAATCGTCGAGCCAAACTGGTCATGGCTTAACCACAGCAAACTGCGACAAATTGCCGGAGGGTAGCCATAAAACCCCAGGGTTGAATCGTGAGAAATCCCATAAGAATCCATCAAAATCCCATAATCAAAATCCCATAGTATGCCATAAATGTCCCTTAAATATAAAATCCGTTCAAAAAGTGGAGGGGGAGAAAAAAAAAACGCATAAAGTCAAAGTCCCGAAAAAACATCCCATGGTTTCTCATCATTTCCCCTAAAAATGGCCTGGAGCATTGGGTTCTCCCCCTGCCCCCATTCAGCCTCCTCAAGACATCTGCCTCCGCAAGCGCCCGCGCATGATCGGGGCTGTGGCGACCTGTAGCAGCCAGCCAAAGATTGCAGAAAAGCTATGGGGAAAGGTTGGAAAATCCCATTTTTTGCTGTGAAAAGTCAACCCGTTCACCATTTTTTGTTGAGGTGACCATCAACCCGTTCGATCTAGGGCTACTAAGGCTACTACACACTGGCACTGACATGAATTGATCCCTCAGTTCTGTGGAGTTGGAACTAGATTGAGAATGATCTAGAATCTAGAATCTAGATGGCCTAGCAGCTAGTACCATACCATCCAACTAAATGATACTAAATGCATGTAAAATCCAGTGCCAAAGTCCTCAAGACATCTGGATACATCTGGATGCTGCCAATGAGTTTCAGAGGGAAATCATCTTCAAATGGTGATTTCGATCATCGCTGTCGCTAGTTCACCTTCAGTGGCCTGAGCTTCCCCACCAATTTGCCCCAAGGACCATGCGGCCGCCGCCTTCACATGGTCCTGTCACGGGAATTCATGGGTTCTAATGGGTGGGTGTCATGCAACATCAACCCCATGAACTTGGAGGAAATCTATGGAAATCCTTTCCCTTCTGAGTGGCAGAACCATATTCCAATTCAGCTAATCCAACTGTTGAGCATGTCATGGACTGGGTCAAAGTTATCAACCGATGACCCCTGGAAATCCCCAGCCGCGCCCAGTGGAACTTGGAGGGTCCCATGGAACCCCCCGAGATTCTGAGAGCCGTTCAGCCTTTTAGGCGACTTCTTGGTGCGGGGGATCTGTTTCCCAATCTATTTACCCTCTGGCAATTTAGCATGGCTACAGAAAATGGCCCATGGTTCTAGATGATTTACCTGTTACATCTGAGGGTTTCCGTGTAACATTACCAAAGGGTATATAGGTCGTAAGTCGTAAGTTACATAATTTGTGAAATAATCTGCTGTGGCAGTCCTCTGGTTCATTGATCAGTGCATCTTTCAGAGGAGGAATTCCTCTTGATACAACCTTGCCACAGGAACATACCGACCACACACATCTATGAGCTGAGAAGTGCCCGAGCACAAATCAGAATCCCTATAAGGCCCTATATACATATATATAATTATATATATATACATATGAAGTGCAAGACCATGGAAAATATTCTTCGAGATTCTGGAACCATCAAACGGGTCACCACTGCCAGTGCCAAGGTCTCCGAGAACGCTGAGACGTAGCCCAAGGTCATGATCCCTGGCAAGCCTCGTCAGGGTGGTGGATGGAGCAAGCCCCTAACCTGGATGACTTTGAGCAGTTGATATTGGTTTATATATGTTTTCAATTGTTTTCATAGGTTAATTGCCAAACACTCCAAGTACTTTTTGCAACTGGTTCCAAAATCACCTTGGGATTTATCCCAATTTACATGTTAGAATGCCCCAGCCACTGTTACAGTTTGTGGCAATGGTCCAGGTGAACTGGATAGATTCTCGGGCCTGGGCACCAAGGGAGATATATGCGGTTTAATCCCACTTTAGATCCATGGGGCCATGGGGAATCATCAAAGAACGTCAAAGTATCAGCTCTTAAGCCGTTCTCATCGCTGTCGTCGTGACAAATCGTCATCACAGGAATCATGCCATCATAGCCCTGTTACTACTTATCATGGGGCCACAGTCAACCCCAATCAGCTTGAACTCTTGGTCCTTCATCAGTTGTTAGGGACCATTCTGATCCAAGTGTCCAAATTGTGTAGCTGGTAGAATGGTTGTGGAAAAAAGGGGGCAAATGCCACGGGATGTACAGTCCCATACCGTTCGCACGAACCTAACTATCTATCTATATATCTATCTATCTGTCTGTCTATCTATCTATCTATCTGTCTGTCTGTCTGTCTGTCTGTCTGTCTGTCTATATCTATCTATCTATCTATCTATCTATCTATCTATCTATCTAATTCTATCTATCTATCTATCTAATTCTATCTATCTATCTATCTATCTATCTATCTAATTCTATCTATCTATCTATCTAATTCTATCTATCTATCTATCTAATTCTATCTATCTATCTAATTCTATCTATCTATCTATCTATCTATCTATCTATCTCTATATATATATATATTATATATATATACATTGACATCCTGACTTAAATAACACAAATTGGAATGAAAAAAATGCATCACTAATTATTCATCGTTTTAAGGTAAAATCTGGGGGAAACCATGGGTTTGACATTGACATGACTAAACTACGGAAAATGTAGAGGTGTCCTTTTTTCCCCTACGTCGTGCGTGGTCAAAAATTTCTAGGTGCACTGGCGCGTGCCGCGTTTTTTCGGAAGTGATCAAACCTGGTTCAGTGGAAACTTCTTTCTTTAACATTTTAAGCAATGGCAACCCTATTCTTTGAACATCTTAGGCACTCGCTGTTCACTGCGTCAAGTTCCATAGGCTGCGCTACCTTTCTGCTCCCCACTGGTTTGTCCCTGTGAGGGCCACGGCCGAAGAAAAATCTCATGGATTGAACTAAGTCTAGATTTTGCAAAATGTTTTCGAGTTTTGTGACGAGACTCTGGAAGGCGAATGATGTTCCAATTCGCGCAATTTCATCGCTGCATTTGTCCCAATTTGGATTCAATCGTGTGGCTATTGAAAAGAAACTCATGTTCCCTGATAAATCCGATAAATTACTGGCCTTTCTTCCCCAGTGTTTCCGGTCTCTATACCGGAGGAGTGGTTAGATCCTCAGAAGAAACATACCCAATTTGTAGTGGAAAGCTTCCTTGGAGGTTTTGATGTTGGATCGATCCCGGGTGCAACGTCGCTGATCCCTTCAGCGTTGCAGCTGAAGTTCGTGCATTGCCACGAGCTTCCTGAACATAGTCCACCATAGCAGCGATACCGCCAGCGTTCACCTCGCCATTATCTGCCATCGTTTTATACAAGAAAAATATAGAAAAATCATATAAGAATGAAACATCATGAAACCATATGACAGCCAAAAAAGATAAAATCAGAGAACATCAGCATGTTCAGTGAAAACGTTTTGTCGCCAAACAATCTCGACGATAACCACCTGGGCTGCCATGAAGTTCAACACAGTTTTCAAAGGGATGGCGATCAGCCCTGAACCAAGCAACAACGAGCTTCGCCAAGTCCGGAGTATGTCGGGATAACTCTCCTTGCAGCTGGTGATTTTTGGAACCTGTGGAACCTGTGGAACCTGTGGAAAGCATAAAATCTGGGGCGTGCTAAAAAACTGGATCACTATTAGCAACCTCACCTCACAGATAGAAAGGTAAGAAAGCAAAACTACTCAAATAGTGGTTTGAAAAGAAATCGGTGTCGATATGTTGATGTTCAATTATTATATGTCAGTATACCCAAAAGGAGTATCAACTGACATCATTTTCCCCGTTAAAACTGCCATCTTACCATCTTGAACTTGCATATCTGTGGTGCCCAGAACATCAAAGAAACCCACATACTTGTTGGTTTCAGCCCCGTGACTACTATTCCTGCATCGCTGGGATCATGACCCCAGGGATGGAAAATAAAACCAATTGAAATAATCAACCAGAATATAAACTTATGTTGAACCATGAAATAATATGACATGAATATAAATTCATACTGTATATATTCATGTCTACCGAGAAAAAAAATCTTCGGTGTGTGTGTGTGTGTGCAGCTTCGTTGCATCTAAAGTTTCTTGCCATACACCGGAAAATCGACATGTTGGACCTGCGACACGTTGAACCTGTGCTGCCAAGCATCGCACGCAGGTGGCGGCATTTTTCTGCACCACCCTCAGCCCATCAACTTTCAGCTGGGCTTCTGGCACAAATGGACTTACAAAAAGAAAATTGGGGCCATAATGGGCCATAATGAATTATAGACTCCATTTTTCGGGGATTCTACAAGGGATGTATATTATATATATCATAATGTATATATATATAATTATATATATATGTGTGTGTGTACTTCCCATACGAAAGATTGCCTATATTTCTGTTGGATGATACCCCTTTTCAGAGAGTCACTGGCCGGTTTGTGTTTCTGCCTGTTGACCATGGTCCGAATCACCAGCCCAATCTCAACTGCTCCAAGAAAAGGAAAAAACTTCAGCTATCTTCAGCTATCTGCCCAAAAAATCCCAAGATATCCCAAGAATTCCCAAGATCTATAGGACATAGGACCCATACGAAACACGCGGTTACCTCCAAGCATTTCCCAAGCGTCTCATCGACGTCGCGCAAGCAGTGCAGGATCCGTGGGAAGACTTCGGCCTCCACGACTACTTCGGCCAGGTCGACCTCGGTTTCCAAAACGGTCGTGAGGAAAGTGGGAGAAATGAGATGTCACTGGGAAATCACGGGGAATGTTGTTTAATATCACCAGAATACCTCAGTCAAGCGGAGAGAATCCGTAATGTTTGAAAGACCCTTGGAAGTTCCTGGAAGTAATGGAAGAAGTTTGAGAAGCAAATGGCCCAATGGTTGTGGCTTACAATACAATCATTTGATGTGTCCGACCCCCTTCACAATGGATTCTTGGCGAGTTTGCCCCAAAAAATGACCCAAAAAATGTCCATTGGTGCCCCAAGCCATGGGGGCGAAAGCTGGAATCAGCACAGATCTTCAGTGGATGGGTTCTCTGGATATTTCTTCACCGGAAACCATGGTAAAATGATGTAAAATGACCCTTAGATATCTCCGTTGTTTTGCGGCAAGATTGTTCTGTTCAACCAATTCCAGGAGATCTTTGGTCTTACCCTCTGGTAAACTAACATAACTATGGAACATCACCATTTTTAATGGGAAAATCCACTATAAATGGCCATTTTCAATAGCTACGTTAAATTACCAGAGGGTATCTTCGGCAGTTGCTGGCTACCCAGCTGTCCAGAAAATCCTCCTGGGTCAGCACCAGCTGTTCCGTTGCGGCGTAAACGTGTCCCCGGGAGGGCACGTTAACGTAGGCACATCCCTACTGGATCAAGGGGGATTCCTAACCTTACTGCTAAACATAGGGAATGGGGGGAATGGGATGCTTGTTTAATTTAATATAATGGACTGGATATTTGACTATAATGATCCTTATTTGCTTTATGAACATTTAACATATATTTAACCATATGTTTTCATGATCGTGATCATTATTGAAGTTACAGTAGTTGTCATGATGATGATTCTTCCCATATGAAGAATGAATCCATCACCCAAATTCTCATCATTCCCCCATTCCCTGCGTTTCGCGTTTCGTGGACCCCCAAAGACCGTTTCGGGGACCGTTTGAGCTCCCGGGCCGAATGCTTGGCGATCTGCGCCAGGCAACCGCACACCTGGTCAATCCAAGAGTTAGTTGATTTTACCGGTAAACTAACAGTTTGCTATGGAAAATGGACCATAGATAATAGAAATAGGTGTTTTACCTGATTTTATGTGATTTTCTATAGCTATGTAAACGTTTACCAGAGGGTAGAATCATTGAACTATTGATACGTAAAAAAAAAACATAGCAGTACCAACTGATTACCCAATCAAAATCCAAATAGATTGCAAATCCCGAATGTCACCCATCAACCAATTCACAGTGTGATGGCAATGTACTCATTGAGGGGCGTCAAATTTCTGACCCATACCGATATTGGGATGAGTCAAAACCTAAACTCTACGAGATTTGGGGGGTGCACGTCCATTGTATGACCCATGGCCATACCTGAAATAACTTACTAGAAACAACTACTTAAATCTATTGGATTTACAGCTGTAGATAGGGAACGGGATTGCCCTTCAGAGTTTTCCCCAACTCTGGACATTATATAAGTCCTTAAGATCGCTGTTCTAGATTGCTGTTCTATTGAGGGGTCAGGGAAAACAAAAAGTTGCAGGCTTGGCGGTCGATCACTTCCCAACTCAACTGATCCATGAACGCACGTGAGCGATTGATCACAAAAAACTGAAAAATCCCCATGCCGTTTGCTATGGTCGTGGACATCGTTTCCCTCCATTAAACTAACATAGATATGGAACATCCAGCACATTTAGATCATTGTCCTAGGGAATCCCATGAAATTTAAGGTCTATTGATAGTTTACCACAGGGTAGCCCCTGAAACTGGCTCCGCACCTGACGTTTCAGCCCAACGTCGCTGTTGGACACCTCCTCCGAGTTTCAGACCAAGGCTGCGCGGAAAAACATGGAAAAGTGGTCGTCCCAAGCCGCAGGTTGCAACACTGTAGTCATCTCAAGCCATAATACACATTAATAATCATTAATACATCAGACATCACCATATATGCCATAAACTCTTAAACTTCTATTGCGGAACACCCCAGATACGTTTGGAAAATGACTAGCTACAGTGGTGTCCTTCACCAATAGGGAACAGGTTCCAGCATCCACCACCAGTTGCGCCAGCTCGGGGCTATGTTTGGCGATGTCGCTGAGGGCCTTGGGACTCCCATTGGCGAAGCGTCATATAGGGCACCAAGAGTCATATAGCTAGTGTATTTAATCAATAATTAAGATAGATGAATAAACACACACATGTATATATATATACAGTATGCATATATATATATATAATTTTATATATGTGTGTGTGCATACAGTATATACATATGTATAAACACATGTGATTGCTAGATGATGGTTGGTGATTATTGCCAATTAATGGATTATATGATGGAATTATGAGGGAACTATCAGGTATGACATCCTGGAGAAGCTGAAAACCATCTTTTGCAGGGACCCCTCTGGAGATCCCCAATATATTCAGCAAGCGGAGCAGTAGAGAGTGAGAATGTCGGCAGCTGTCGCACTTGTAACACAAAACTCACAATGGTGGCAAGGCAAACTATTTCAAACCCAGCAAGAACCGAGCAAGAACCGAAAACGGCAGAATCCGTGCCCCTGTGAACATACGGGACATTTGGCAAGTTTTGGATAGCTGAAGGCCCTTTTTTCCAAGGGACAGAGGCGCTGATGCGTTTCACGGTGAGATCTGGCTCCTGACCCGTGTGACCCGGGAAAAAGGGAGCGCTCGGATGGGACAACCTGGGACAGGTTATGACAGGTCTGTCCCTTGTTGCTGTTGTGATTTTATGATGTGAAATGGTTCAGAATTGATTTGTTGATGTTTTCTTTTCAGGTGTTGGTTGTTGTTTGGTTTAGATGAGGGGAATAATTTCGGGTTTGCAGTGATGTGATTTAAAGATTAGTTCAGTAATTTGGTTTGTTGAAATATTGCCAAGTAGTCATTCCATATCATTCCGATGCTCTCCAGCTTCCTATTCCATCCCGCTAGTCTGAAAAATTATTCGAATGTGATTTACCCTCTGGTAAACTAACATAACTATGGAAAATCACCATTTTTTATGGGAAAACTCACTATTTCAATGGCCATTTTCAATAGCAAACTGTTGACATAACCAGAGGGTAAACAGACTTTATCTGCATCGCTGTGTTCACCCATTGAGAAAAGTGTGAGCTTTGTGACGTTATTCCCTCAGTTCTCTTCCACGCTCACTGATGAATTCTTGAAAAACAGTATGTTACATATGTTGTAATACATTAAAAAAGGACGATGTCAAGTCTTGCATGCCATCGAAAATTTTATCTATCTTCCATCCGCTGAAAGTGTGCGTGTAATCTTTCAATAACCTTGTTCCAGAATTGTCTCGCTATCACTAGCAAAGTCTGCAAATAGACCAACGTTTCCTACATCCAAATTCTCAATTCTTACACTGGGCCTTGACTCATACTATACATAGCTACTCTTTCTTTTTTTGTACCTATCAACTCTTGCAGGTGCTCCTTTATTCCAGTTTGATGTACCGGTACAATGATGTTCACCTTAAAAATTTCGGTTGTTCAGTGTCTTCACCCAGGATGTCCAGCATGTTTTTGGAAAATCAGAGGCCTCCCGTAGTGCCAAGGTCGTGAAAGTTTCTAAGGATGTGGCATGTATATATATATATGTATATATATATGTCCATTCCTTTTTTACATAGGATTTGATTACCAACAAAAATCACCGGTTTCTGAAAAAGTTGAAATCTTTTCCCCGAAATCATGAGTGGGAAAGGAGTCAGTGTGCTTATTTTACACCCCGTCCGCTCCTGACTTTTGCCCTTAAACCCAAAGTTCATTAAATAAATATATAAACAAATAAATATATATCTATGTGTTATATATATATATATGTGTATTAAAAAACTATATTGTAAATATATATATATCCATTTAAAAAAATGTATAAATAAATACATATATATATATATATAACTATGTACATATAATATATATATGATATATGCATATATATATATATATGTGTGTGTTATATAATTATATATGTGTATGTGGTCCCCCAGAAATATCGGAAAAAACCTTCCACTCCCAACCACTACATGACAGGTCAGAACACCCGAAGGGTAAAGGCTATCGGTATATGTATTACCCTCTGGTTATGACTAACATAGCCATGGTATAGATGGCCCATAGAAATAGATGGTAAACGGTAAACCCATGGTTTACCTATTAAAACTGGTGATTTTCCATGGCTATGTGAAATAACCAGATGGTATAATCATACGATATCATGCGTGCATGTGAGGAGTGGGAAACAAATTGCGGAAAAGGTGTTTCTGTTTATTCTGACGCGTATGTGTATGACAAGCTGTTGGGCTCACCATCTCAAAGTTGCGTTTTGAAACTGTTTGCAATGGCCATCTATTTCAAGACTTTGGCTGAAACGCTCACCAAAAGAAAACATACTCAGTGAAGACTGTTTGGCCACATTGATCATTGATAATAGCGCAGTGGTAGCGACCGTCGCTGGGATTGACCTTCACAAACTCAAACGCCATCATATCTTCTTAACCTCGGCTTTTGGTGACGAGAGTGTCAAGGGCTGTCGGGGTGAAAAAGTAAAAGGACGGCGGGGAGAGGTGGCAACACTCCATCTGAAGTTCTCGAAGGATCGATCCAAGACAGCCACACCATTTTGTGCGACGTTGAAGGAATCTCAAAGCAGGTCTGTCGATCTACACGTGCGTCTTGTGACTGAATCCCTCCGATAGAAGTGCAAGACATGGCAAGGATTTTGCCGGATCTTGCAAAATTTGAACCTGATTAAAAGTGAAGGAACATCTGAAGATGTCATTTCACCCCAACAACAGATCTTGCATAGTCTTGCATGATTCTGCAACATTTGGCACAATGGTTTGTGTGAATTTGCAACATCTGGTAATGTTTTGGGGATCTCTAGATGCAAAATGATGCAAAATACACAGATCCTACAGCGACCTGCAGGTCAAGTTGAAGAGCCGCTCAGCTCAACGAGATTCTATGTGATTCTCAGTCAAAGGCATCCGTCCAACGGGTTGGACGGATGCTGACCAAAGTCCGCCGTCCGGCTGCAACCATGTAGCTGCTCTCGCCTCTGCCGTTGACAATTCTCAACCGTGTATTGTTTTGCCTCTCCGATGGTTAGACCGTGTGTCATGAAACCAAGCCCTTGCTGCGCTGTATCCTGCATCCCGATCCCGGAAAGTAGGACCGAGATGACTGGAACTGGGTGTCTTTGTTTCAACTTGCGGCACTGACTGCGTCTCGCAGTGTCTGGGGTTGCTCATATTAATCTCCCTTTGTTTGACCGCCGCAGGTGAGGGTCTGGACGCATTCCAATGTGAAGGTCTGGGCGCAAAAGCTTCAGCCGGGTGACCATCAGCTCGTTCATTTTGCCTTGCGGGGGTCCTCTGTTCCGACACGCCCCTAGGTTGGCGGAAGAGGTGATCCCGGCCGTGGCCATCATCGGAGTTGTTGAAGAGGCTGGTGAAGAAATTGCCCATTGCGTCGAATGTGAATTTCCTATTGCATCCCAAGTTCTAATGGTAGCTCTTTGCAGCTGGAGTTCTTCCATGAAGCGAGTTGTCAATTTATCCTGCAAATGAGTGTTGGTCAGTGTTGCCTTGTTTCTTGCGCCGCACTTCACTCATTGCCAACACATCGCTGGCTGTATTCGCTGTCAAATTGCAGTGTCTTGGCTTGAGACTGCAATTGTTGCAACATGCAATTCCATGGGAATGGCACTTTCAGTGTGAAGATCTGGACTGGAATGGTTGCTCCTGCTTTATATGTAAGTACCGCTTGAGTAACCCTGTTTCCCTCTGAGCACCTGACAAAAGTGCAAAGAACAGGCCGATGAAGACGTAGCAATCGGTGGGATGGCCCGCATGAACGGCACTAAAATACACCACATCGCAAACAGTAAGATTAAATGTTGAAGACCAATACTAAGATAAAATAGAAACAGATGACATGCGAACGCAACTGTCTCGGAACCATCTTTCTACCATTCTTGTAGAAGGAAGGTCAGGTGGGAAATTTCTTCACTTGGCGCATCAAAAAATTACAGGTTCACATATTCTGACAGAACCATGATCTCGGGATCTCAGGCTATGATATCCTGGGACATCGCCATCGCAAAGTCCTCACATTTTCCCGCTTGAAAAATGTCCAGCCAATCTCCCAGCCACTGGTGCAGCATGGTGCAGCTCCTGAAACGCCAAGACCAACAAAGGCACTGCGCCAGCGTTCACGACCTGGAGCAGGAGCGCAGGGCAGAGATTTTCACCAGATCCACCAGATTCTGATTATAATGAGAGGAGGGAAAAAAAGAAGAAAAAAAACATAGAAAAGTAGTGATGAAAAGTGAATATCATCAGCAAATTTGTGGGGACAAATTTGATTTACACCGATTGACTACCTTCTGGGATGACAATAGATTGGAATTTACACATGTTTCACAGGGAAGGGTTCATCATCAATGACTCGGGCTCCCAGAAGACGTGAGAACTCACAGCTACCCTAGGTAAATCATCTGTCTCATGGCACTTTTCCATGGCGAACTGTTCAACTTCTCCATTTTTGGGTCACCCAGAAGAGTCCACCGTTTTCAATGAATGCAGAACCATGGTGAGTGCGGCAACTGTCATCTTTTAATCATATCATGTCGCCCGAAAATTTGGTGTTCAACCCGGACAAAAATGGAGATGCAATCCGCTACTGCAGCTTGAGCCACGCTCTGGGCCAGGTCCTTGGTGTGTTTTGCCTTGGAAAACTCGGAACCGAAAACGGACACTTCCTATGCTGTGCAGTTGGTGCAGTTGGTGCAGGTAGTTGGATGATGTTGGATGTAGTGCAGTTACACTCAGTTGATGATGACATTCAAGGCACAATATATCCCAGCGCCCATGCGGCCGACTCTTTCACTGCAGGGTCGAACTCCTGGATGTGGCATGGCTGGGATGGGCTGTAATGTGCAGGTTGCAGGTTGGCCTGTTTTGTGGGGATTTTTGTAGGTAAACCGTTTCGGTAAACCTAGCTACACTCCAAAGTTCCACATGGAAATTTGAATTGCACAAATAATGATGTTGCCGGGCAACTTTCAGCACGAAAAAGCTAGCAAATATATATATATATGTGTGTGTGTGCGTGTCTATTTATATATTAATTATAAATATATATATATATAGGGATTATAAGGGCGTGTCTGAAAATATGGGATTGACCACCCAACTCATGGCTGACGGCTCCTCCAAGCAAAGCACCAACGACTCCATTGCACCGGAATCCACCACAGCCTGCGAAAAGAATACAAAAAAAAATGAATCTGTTTCTACGGACATAACCACCCTGACATGTAGGAATTTCCTGTAAATGTCCCACATGTCCCACTCATCCAATTCATACCTGGCCCCATCCTTTGGCTTCACTGGAGTGCGTCCTCATGTTTCGTTTCTTCGGTTAGTGCGGGGAAGTAGCCGTGCTGGTGAGGGGCCCATTCATCCCTCATTTGGACATGATTCTAAAGATCGCTTCGAAGAACTGAGATGTTTTCCTTGCACTTGTTTCGACTGCAAGTCTGATTCATTACCCTGCTGAATGTTGCGTGCAGCAACAGCCTGCGCAAGTGGCGCCGAATGTTTGGCGACTGCCCGCAGAACAAAGGCCGCCGCTTTCTTGTAGAAGCCTTGCAATGATGCGAGCAAAGTTTCCAGGTTTTTTGGCGGGGAATGGAATTCGCAGATATTAGTAGCAGAAACCCATATGGCCCATATCTATGCATGTTTAGTTCCTTGACCCATTTCTGGCCCATCGGAGTTTCCCCTGACTGCTGCCACGTCACGGTTCTGCTGTGCCAACGAATAGACCAGCTGCGGCAAGATTTCGTGAGTGACCACCTGCGGTGCGGTGGTTGATGGATGCCAGTGCAAATTTCATGGGTTTCCACCTGTTTCCCCAGATTCTTTCCAAATGTTCTCTCAGTTTTCCACATGTTTCCCATTCTTTGCCCTTGCTTCCATATTTTTCAGGAAATGTCCCACTGGTGTCCATACTTTCCATCTCTATCCGCATTTTTTTCGCTAATCCCATTCCCTCTATGAAACACTCCAGTGGTCCTAGGTGGTCCCTTAAATATGTGGTGTCATCCCCTACTAAACAATGGTTTCTGGGTGTTATATGCCTGTTAGGGGATATTGGGGGATGGGATCTGCATTGTATTTTATCAGGCCAGCCACAATTGTAGCAATATACAATGGGGTGAACCAAACCCTGCCGTTAAGCTCTCGGCACGGCACTTTTGAACCAACGCTTCATAGTCGATATGATGTACATGGAACATAGGGTTTTACTGCAAGGGTTTTTACCCCCCTCAGGCGAGCAGGGACAGCGGCGAGACTGTTTAACCAATAGTCGAGCTAACCCTCGCGGGTAGCTGGCTTGTTTTTATATGGCTTTTGGATTTTTTATGCCGCATTCAAAAGTCCCTCTAAAAAGCTCAAGCCTGAACACCCAAGTAGCAATGCAAGGGAAGGCAATTCACCATGCCACATCCTGCAAAAGGCTACACATCATATCTAGCTACCGGCTCCAATAGATCCGACGGCCACCGGCCTCATCCCGATAATACCACGCACCTCGCCACCAGCTCCATTCACGGCGAGCACCGTAATGATCCCTGTTCCAGCTCCACGAAGCATCAGGGCGACCTGAGTTGGATGCCTTGGAAGTCGGTGGTACTTCTGGCTCCAAGAAAAGTCTTGCTGCGCTCTTTGGCGTTGGAGGCTCTGGCGTCAGAAATGGCGCGGTATCGGATGAGGTGCTTGTGCGGAGCTAAATACCGCCGCTGCATTGGCTGGAGAGCACAACAAGAATCACTGACGAGAATCCAGATGACATGGCTCAGGGTTGCCCCTGGCGGGTCGACTTTTTCCAGCTCTGGTTCTTGTGGCAACAGGCAGAACTTCAGGACATCGTTTGCCAAGGGGCCCACCATTCGTTCATCAAACCTTCAACAAAATCAGGCCAGGGTACCCTCACCTTGGTTACGGACCACCAATGCCTCACGGCCGGCCGGGTTTGCTGCGAGTCGCGAGTCAACCCATTTTGACAGGACAGGCAAATTTGGCGCTACAGACTTTCCTTTTGGATGCTTGGCCCCTCGCAGCTACCCGGAAGCATTCATGAAGCATGTCGGTCAACTTGAAGGTATAATTTTCAGCAAGTTTCAGTGCTTTCCCTCGACTTTGATCATGCTCATGCAAACCGTCACAACAGTAGGAATCAAGTTTTGAAAAGTTCTTTGAAGTTTCCAGCAATGGTCCAACTTTTCTTCATGGGCTGACCGTTGTTTCCGAGAACTCCCATCATACATCCATCAAAATAGTGCACGGACATGAAACGTTCTATAAGAAACTTTCTAACCATCGGCCATCTCCAATATTTACAATTCTTCGAAAGTTCAAACGCTATCAAGGTTCGCTCATCATAAACTTCACCCACAAGTTTGACAAAAGACTTTAAAAGTGTGGTAAACTGTTTCTGTTGCTCTTTGGTTCTCTCATAGCCCTCGACCGTGAGGCCGTTTACGTTTCCCCATGGACTTCCTTCCACGCATGGCAATGATGCATACAAAATCAAAAGTGCCATTACCAAAGTCATTTCTGAAGTCTTTGACTTGGGAAGCTAGTCGTTGCCGACAGCCGTGAGTGGTTCCATCATCCTTTTCAATTACACTGACGCAATGGCAATCTTGACTGGCCTTTCTCTGGGTACTAAGCTTTGGGTCTTCTGAGTCTTCTGAGCAACAAAATTCGATCAATATTCTGGGCTCAAAATTCTTTCCGAGCCCCCCTGATTCCCGGCAGCAATGGCTAGTCTTGGCACCTTAGTAGAGTTCGGCGTCGCGGCGTCGCGAGCTGCTTCGTCCACCTTTGTCGGGCCAATGCCAATGAGGTGAATGGCATGTTGCCAAAGGGCTGGTCGGGTAAAGGCTTTTGTGAGAATGCCTGCAACTTGGAAATTCGTACCAACGTTGAGAAGATCGAACTGTTTACATTCAAACTGTTGTTTCAACCATTTGAAGTTGATATTTTGTGTCTTGTTCATATGTCTCATGGATGCTGATGAACCGGTGGCCATGACTGCGATAGTAGCCTGATTGTCCTCCATGAACTTTACTTGATAAAAATTCAGGGAAACTAGCCTTGAGTGAGTTGATGTCCGCAACGCTACAACCCATGTCAACATTCCCATTACGGATGTCATCAATTTCGGGGTCAATCCTGGTGAACACAGTATCAACATCGGGCTTCGTGGCATCGCGAGCTGGTTTACCCTGAAGCTCCTTAAACAAGTTAAGCTGCTGGAATAGGGCCAGCATAGGAATACCCTCAGCTCTCATACTGTGGTTTGCGGCAAATACTTCGGCTTTGGTTGAAGAAATCGCTACAACCGTTTGTTTCTTAATGAATGCGTTTAAAGGGTAATAGGTATTGGGTCCAACCAACACTATTGCGCTACCGGATGTGCTCTTGCTATCATGTTCACCTGCGTGGTCGGCATCAGCAAAGAGCCATAGCTGGCATTGGTCGAATGCATCCCCAATGATACCCTCGAGAAAGTGGTGCTTTGTACAATTGATGTATGCTACCAACGGACGTAATGCGACATCACATTCAATGGACCATTTGGTCACTCTTGAGGCCAAGCTCTGGGTGGCTCTGAGCAAATCAAATCTGGCCATTCGCGCTGCGAACAGTATTTTCATCAAGATTTTGCTTGCTACTGGTTGGAGCCTACCATGCTTTTCATCCTCACTGAGTGTTGGCCTTGCTATGCCGGCATCGGTGAATGATGTTGGCACCTGATTCAAGGACGACGGATTGACCTTTGCAAGATTGCAAGCGTTTTCTACACAGGACTGCAGAGAGTTGCTCATGTCATACCTCACAAGATTCACGGGCGTGGCCATGACGCCAGCTTTTGACTTCACGGCTTGGTCTACCCCCCTGAACTTAGAGGCTTTCGCTTCCTTCTTTGCTTCACGTTTGTCGCGATGGGGTCCTGGTCTGGCCTTGCTTGCCATTGCAAACTGCTTGAACTTGTCTGGTCCGTCCTGTCCATAACAGAAAACTGTTTTTCCAGTCCAAAATTCATTTGCTTGATTGCTAGATGTTTCCAGTCATCAGTATAAACATCATAGCCCCCCTGATTGTTCCTGTCTGTGATGCTAGGACAACTTTCTAGTGTTACCTTTTTGTCAAAGAAAGTAATGCGACTTGAATTTTGACAAGTATACTCTCCCCCACTCATCACCCGGCTGGTACAATCGTTTTCGGGGTTGAACATGATGTCTGATCCATGCTTGATTGTTTTCATCGTGCTCCCACCAGTCCTGAGTTCGATTCTGTGCTGCTTCTGACTTCTTGGCACCGAAGGCGAATGCAAATGGGTGTGCCGATGAGGGCAACCGGATGTTTTCAAACTCCCGGTGTGTACTATCGATCATATGGCTCTGGATCGCCAATGTTCACTGCAGCTTTGATGCTTGCCCATGCCTTTTCCATATTTGCTGAAGGCCTTGCCATTTTGAAGTCATCTACATACACAACTAACAGACAGTTGAGCTCTTGATGATGAAAAATTGAATGCCAAATGTCAGGTAAAATTTGTTTCCAACCCTGTTTCACCACACGGCCGTTGAGATGTTGCTCCCAAAATCTCCCAAATACCCCCACTATCAGGATGACCATATAGGGCCAGCAGCATTGGTACCATTGGCTGCCAGCATTTCCTTTCCCAATCTTTTGGCCACCTGTTTCGAGGCAATGATAACCATTTGGGCACCCCTGTGAAGAGTGCTTGTATGTAGGCTTGGATTGCGTCAGCTTGCTGTTTTGAGAAACCCGGCTGGCTACCAAAAGCATCTAGCAGCTTGGCTGCTTCCATTGAAGCTGGAGAGGAGCCCAACTCATTGAAGAGTGCATGGTCCGAGTTCTCATCTCGCACGTTCTTACCTTGAAACACATTCTCCTGCCTTTGAACGTACGGCGGGATCTGACTCTGGGAGTTCAGACCCCTTTTCGTAACATGCTTCAAAGATTCCGTCCTAAGTGAACAGTCTTGCCATCACGACGAGCCTCAGCTACTATGTCGCAGCATTCATGGACGCGCTTCTCATCCCATTGGTACGAAGGTTTTCCCATTCTTTGTCAAGAGCGGCTTTTGCCTTGGGTTTGCGGGCCATTTCATCTTTTGATACAAGCCTAGCAACGGAAGCGAAGAGCTCGAGCGCAACTTTGAACTCAAGTTCCTTGAAGTTTTGGCCGATGTTCTTCCACGGGAGGCGCCGCTACTTTTTTGGCATTGCTGGCACGGAAAACTTTTGAGATGCGGCTGGAATGATTTCCCACTTGTCACCTACAAGCTTGGCTTTGGCAGGAGAGCATTGAGTTGCCTCAAGCTGAGCTGGAGAAGATTTCTTCTTCTTGCTCTTCAGGCCTGATGGCGCTGACTTGCCCCCCTGAGCCTCTGCAAGTGCCTTGGCATCTTCCTCCTCAATGATCTTCTTCCGCTCATTTGATCCTTTTTTACCACAATTCTGAGTCAATCCCTTCCGGACGTTTTGAAGACCTTTGTAGTTACGTACAATCCGGTGACCGCCCCAATGAAAACCATCTGGAATTACTTCACCTTTCGGGGTCAACACAAGGTCTGGGAGTATGAAGAGGCACGACGCTGGGAGTCGGAGGAATCACCTGGTCCTCAAGACGATCTGCTTTGGGTGACTTGGAGCCAATCAGAGCTTTCAAAGGAAAGATGAAACCCTCGGATGGCAATTCCAACCTCTTTGTTCTTTGGATAGTCAGCGCACCCCAGTTGACATGATAATCAGCAGCTTCCAACTTGGCAACTAAGTATTCACCCTTCCAATCATGACCAGGTTGGATGCAATACCCAAGGAACAATCCTTCATTTGATGTTGGGGAAAGATGGGGAAAGCTTACCTGCGGTGTTGTCGGCCCTTTTGGTGTTATTCCATAACAACACTTTGGCGCCAAACGGAATGTGCATTGCAGGGAACTCCTCGCCAAACCTGAGTTGCCACGGTGATTCACTGCCGTCAAGCTGGTGGCTTGCATTGATCGCAGCTGCGTGGTGCTGCATGGCAAGGGGCCACATCTTCAGCGGAAGCCCTGGCTGGAGGAGGTTACTTCTGGCACCTTCCAACATCTGACGAACCTGACGCTCTGCAAATGACTTTGATAAATCGACATATTCAATTGAGGTCTGATGTCTGTATCCCAAGTCCTTGATGGCTCTAAGCAACTCAGGTGAGCTGTCAGTGTACACAACCTGAGCATCATCTTTTGACCCAATGAAATGATTCACACCATCCATACTGCTTTGTGCATCTTTTGTTTGGCTTGAATAGACATACCTGTATTGGGTGTGCAAATCTTTCAACACCAATGCCACCTGTTCCCCTTTGAAGCCCTCTTCTACATTCCTCTTGATGATAACATGATCACGAATGATGAAGTCACCGAACACTTCGGTTTCAATCCTCTTCTGACCACCTTTCCTACGAGCCTGTGTGGCCATCATTCTTGCCCGTTGGCACGTCCTGCAAAATGGGTTTTTCGGGAAATGTGTGTATTGATGCTGACTGCCGGCAGCCTGGCCAGAAGATCCTCTGTCTTGCGACTTCGGATATATTCCTGCTGGGCATCGTCCGCAGCGAGCTCGTCCAACTGATCATCGTCCTCAGCGTCATCACGCTTGGCTTTGGAGCTCGACTGCGAGGTTGGCATTGCGAACAACTTCTTTAGATGCTTATCCTTCTGAAACTGTTCCTTTGAATAGACCTTGCAAGAATCATCCAAAACCGGGACACGACCTTCAACCTTGAGCTGGACAACTTTGTCATCACGGCGGACGAGAATCGGTTTGCCGTTGGCAGGCCGAACGAAGCTGTAGCCTTGATCTACGCACCTAGTTCCTACGGAGAGCACAGCTGGGGTGTGATCTAACACGTATGGCTGCACGGGATCCGGAAGTGCGGACAACTTGACGTCTGCGACTTCGTTTGCCTCAGTTGATCCATTTGCAGTGACCAACGAGATCGGATGCTCGGCTGCTCTGCAGTTCTTGGCACTGACATCCCTCAGCATTCCTTTAGAGACGAGGTCGGACTCACTTCCTGAATCAACAAGCCAACTGACACCGGCCTTTGGCGCAGCAGTGGCGATCAACGGAAATCGTCCAACATCTCTAAGAGCTTTGGGACCGCTAACAAACCTGCATTCTTTGCACGTGATGTCACATGTGTCTTCGTTCCAACAACAAAACCCACAACTTGGTGCTACATCGAACTGATGAAGCTTCACAGTTTCTTGGAGCTGACGTGCTTGCACCTGCGCTTCATGTTGTTCTACCTTGGACGAGACCGGAACGTCATCGGATGTTCTGTACACATTTGTGAACTCTCCTGGGCGATGTCTGACGGGGACCTGACGACCAACTGCTTTCACTTCGATCACTTGAGGAATCTTTCGGAACCGAACACGCTTCATGCTGACACTTGACCCTTCAGAGCTCGAGGTTACCCTCGGCTGTTTCTTTGCAATACATGCAAACTTTGGGTGAGGATCAATCAAACATGGGTCAGCATTGGATTCCTTTCCCTTCTTCTTCGGTGCTGGGGAGTTGGTCCTCTTCCTGTCCTTAGTTGCGGCAGCAGCTTTGTCATCATGCTTATAGAAGCATGTGTCACCTCGTCTGCATTTTCCCTGGGCATGGCAGATGCATGGGGTCTTTGCCGTTTCTTCTTTTGACATTTTCTTCCCCTTATCATCCTTGTTACCCTTTGCGGGTGAACGAGTTGTGTTCTTCTGGGAGGCTGAGTGCGTGATTTGTCATCCTTTACATGCTTGAATAGACACTTCTTCCCCTTATCGCACTGGCCCTTTTGGAACTTATAGCAAACTTTGTTACCGTTGCTCCTACCTTGAGACCTACCACGACTCGGAGAGCCCTTTCGGTTGGGATTGCCACGACCATCGCCGTTGGCGGATGCAGCTTTTGTGTCCTTCGGACCACCGGCCTTGTTCTTCTCCGTAATGCAATTGCGGTTCCCTCAGTCGTTCCCTGTCAATCAGGCTCTTCATCGACTGGCGAAGAAAGCTGTAAGACTTCTCATAGGCCTTTTCGGATGCACGATCAAACACTTCAATGTCGTACTTCAGCAACTGGCTAGGACCGATCTTCCGCAAGAGGAGTACAGCGTCTTCAGGGGTTGAAGCCATACCAGCTAGAGTAGCACCCCACTTGTTGACAAATCTTCTCAAGTCCTGGACCGTGTCACCTACTTTCACAACACCCAAAAGATCTTCAACCCTGTAAAGACTACCTGCTTCTTCTGATGTTTTGAAATAGTCCTCGAACATGAGCAATACATATCGTCCCCTAACTTGGATACCTTTTCGGGATTGCTGCTCTTTATGGTTCGGAATCCTAGTGGCAAGATCTCGGCCGGCTGAGCGCATGAGCGCTGCTGATAGCTTTGTATCCAGCGTGAGAAACTTTCCGGGATCTTGAAGCTTCTGCTCAAGCTTTTCACGGGCGCATGACTGATCATACACCTCGTTCAGCCAAGCCCAAGCCTCATCTGGACGATCGGAACAGCTTTTGACTTCATCCCTTACATCGTTCTTCCAATTCCTATATGACTCTGATGCTGGCATGTTGTTCAACTTGATGACTTCAGCTTCCTTAGTCTTTGGTTTATCCTTTTCATCTCTTTGGGTTAAGTTAAGGCTTTCATCCATTCAATAAGATCCGAAGCTCCCATCATCTGTTGTTGTTTGCCTACACTCTTTGGGGAGTCATTTGGGGGAGTCTTGATTGGCCCAGTTGGAGTCATGAAACCTGACATGGTCGGCAAATGAGGCTTGTCGTTTCCGACAGCTGGCTCGAGGGGAGTGCCACCTTTGAGCAGCTCGTCTAATCTCGCCTTGGCCTCTTGTGCCAACACACCAGGTGACTTGATCTCTGGAATCGGCTCATGGTCAGCTTTTGCTGCGGATGCGTCGGGTGCTCTTGGAGTCGCAATATTGGAAGTGGGCACACCAGCAACCCTGACATCATGTGTTGCCTGAGCCTAGTTAAACTTGACCTCTAGTTCATCACCCTTCCTCAGCTATCGCGGCTATTGCCTTTGCCTCTACGTCCTGCAACCTTTGCTCATACTCCTGCTCCTGTTTGGTGAGCTTGTTTGACCAATCATTTTTAATTGAATCAACCACTCCATGCATGATCTGAAGGTGCCTTTGTTCAGCTTCCCTCATGACTTGCAATGTGTTTCCACTTGTGATCTGTGCAAGGTTGTTTTGTATGAACGTGAAGTATGCGATCACGGGCTGATAGATAGTGTCCTCATCCATGGGCTCAGAGTTGCCTCCAGCTGTGTCTGGCACAGCAATGGGTGGACCTGACCCTGGGATGGCGAGTGTGAGGTCGGTTGGGGTCCCCATGGCAAAGTGGTGAGGCTACGGCTGATAACTTGTATTTTATCAGGTCGGCCACAATTGTAGTAATATACAATGGGGTGAACCAAACCCTGCCGTTAAGCTCTCGGCACTTTTGAACCAACGCTTTATAGTCGATATGATGTACATGGAACATAGCGTTTTACTGCAGGAGTTTTTACATGCATCATCTTACCATATTCTTGGGAATCATTGCTGGTTAGAAATTCCCTCGTGTTAATGAGGTGGAATTTAACAAATACCCCCATCTATCCCATCATCTTATATAATTTCATTACATCATATTCAATCCCTATTTCTTATATTTCTAACTCCAACTATCCCTCCATATATCCCTATATCTCATATACTTAGGCAATATGAATACCCGCTCCGGATCGCTCCCTCTGTTCACTGTGGAGAGTTCATTGTTCAAAAAACAAGGGGGGGCCTGAGAACCCAAAAGCAAAACGACAGCAAACATATTGAGTAATAATTGGTTTATTTCCCTTTCGCCTCTTGCCAGCATCTTTTTAGAATTTTAGAAGATGAACATTATGGACGCATTCACTGCAAATTTCATTTTTTCAACTCTGCACGGAAGCATTTATGTTATTACTATATATTGTTATTACCATAGCTAGATATATTAGTAATAACCCTATATCCAGCCATTCACCAGCGACAACAAGGCACTGACTCGGCCAGGGTCTCGTTGAAGTTGGCCAGGCGTCCCAGCGCCAAGGCTGCGGACTGCTGGATGGAGGCCACGTTGTCCAGGAGCAACGGCCTCGCCACAGATTCCACGGTGTTTCAGCGGGAAATTGGATGAAATGTACGGAAAATTTATGAAAAATTGGGGGAAAATGGGTGATTGATGGAAATTGTTTGGGAGGAATTCTGGATTTAGTGGAGAATTTGGAAGATGTTGGTGGATTGTTGGACCTAGGTTAATTGGTGGCTAATTCTAGATGAATCTAGATAACGGTGCAAGCGCATGATGTAAATGGAAGGATGCTGGAGGGATGCAGTTGGAGCAAACTCCCAAAGTTGTGACATGATGAATCCTCAATTGATGTTTAATGGTTGATCTAACATGATCTAACCATCAATGAGTGAGGTTTGAAATCGTTTGAGTATGTCTATATTCTTCTATCTGAATACATGTAGTACGAGTGAAGGCCTAAGCATAGCTTTGTCACGACTTGGGGATCCACTTGGAACAGGATGGAACAGGCCCAGCCTCAAGAGCGCCATCACCCCCGCATTTTGCAAAGCATCGATATTTTGCGGCCTGCCAGTCTGAGTTGAATCGGAATATCATGGAAATATCCACTCATGCATGGTTGGTTTTCTCACACCGTTCTTGCAGAGCATGGATATCTAGCGTTACTATATAGGAGCTGATGGCAATGGAGTAGAACTACCAAATGGGGATATCATGGGAATGTCATGATCAACCAACAATTCAGGTGACCCGGTTACGCTTCGGTGTCAGCTCCATGGCTGGGACATCCCCGAACTAGGGCTGGGGGCTTTCCGGCAAGCCATGTCTGATTACCGGAGGGTAACTTGTAAGGGGACCAAAACAAATGGAAGCGACCAAACCCACAAAACCCACAAAACCCACAAAATAGGACATAAGGGCTGATGAAGCATATCCGGGCTGGGAAAGGAGACAAGTGACAAGGGAGTTACAAAACAAGCAACCAAATCAGTTGAGTACAGGCATGGCAAGTGCTGTTGGGTGAAGGGCGAAGGGCTTTGAAAATACCTTTAAAAACCTCCTGTTCAGCAGAGCGGGTCAGAGAAACTAGAGCAGTTAGAATGAGACAGTCCGTCAGACCATGCAAAGTGGCAGTATCCAATTGCTACCGTGGTTCAAAAACAAACCACAAAACCATCAGCCATTTTCAAATATGGTTCCAACACCAACTTCAGATAGTATAGACGCGTATAGATTAACAAGTCCTAAACTATCAGAAATGTCTATACTATCAAAAAATGAGTATATTTTTATAGACCAATTATCAAAATATATATATATGTATTACATGTATACCATAAACATTCATATTTCAACTGCGCACGAGCTACGCAGCTTTGCCCAGCTACGCCCAGCTACGCTTTGCACAACTGCGCCTGGTGGCCAGATCCGCCACAGTTTGCACAAAGGTCACACGGGCCTGGAGGACACCACGCCCGCGGAAGGTTCACCAACCTTTTTTAAACAGCCGTGGGTCATTTATAGTGCGCATTTATATATATATATATATGTATATATATATGTGTATAATATGTGTGTGTATGTATATATTGTTTGTTTATCTATCTATTTATTCATTTCTTTCTATTTTTACACTATGAATATACTACAGATATACTGTAAAGATACAAATGAATAGACTTTAATAGGCTACAAATGAATAGACTTTAATAAGCTACAAAAATGCTATTAATCAAAGGAAGTGTAGAGGGAGAAACTTCCGTGTTACGGACTTTTAGAATGTCAGGGAAAGAGTTAGTCAAAGAAAGAGTTAGTCAGGATATATGAGGTAGTCAAAGAAAGAGTTAGCAAAGAAACAAGTTAGTCAAAGAAAGAGTTAGTCAGGATATATGAGGTAGTCAAAGAAAGAGTTAGCAAAGAAACAAGTTAGTCAAAGAAAGAGTTAGTCAGGATATATGAGGTAGTCAAAGAAAGAGTTAGTCAAAGAAAGAGTTAGTGAGGGAAAGAGTTAGTCAAAGAAAGAGTTAGTGAGGGAAAGAGTTATTCAAAGAAAGAGTTAGCAAAGAAACAGTTAGTCACAGAAAGAGTTAGCAAAGAAAGAGTTCGTCAGGGAAAGAGTTAGTCAAAGAAAGAGTTAGTCAAAGAAACAGTTAGTCAGGGAAAGAGTTAGTCAAAGAAAGAGTTAGTGAGGGAAAGAGTTAGTCAAAGAAAGAGTTAGTGAGGGAAAGAGTCAGTCAAAGAAAGAGTTAGTGAGGGAAAGATTTAGTCAAAGAAAGGGTTAGTCAGGATATATGAGGTAGTCAAAGAAAGAGTTAGCAAAGAAACAAGTTAGTCAAAGAAAGAGTTAGTGAGGAAAAGAGTTAGTCACAGAAAGAGTTAGCAAAGAAATTGTTCCCTCACTGTAAATGGGATTGCAAGTGGTGCTGGTGGAGGAGTTGCCGATGGAGTTTTGACGGAAGTCTCGCACGAATGCGTTTTTGAGAGATAGCAGATGCACGAAACCCTGTGTTTTTCCAGACAAAGTGCGTCCCCGAACGTCGATGATCTACCTCTGCGGTGCGACGGGTGCGAGACGGTCTCGTGTGTGGTCGGATCATTCTCGGACCATGGTCGGATCATTCTCGGACCATGGTCGGATCGGTTCCGCATTGTAAATGGGGTTTCAAGTGTTTTTCGTGCATGCGCGGTCGACAGAATTCCATTGTGGTTTGCAACTGTAGGATCGTTCCCGCAATGTAAATGGGATTGCAAGTGGTGCTGGTGGATGAGTTGCCGATGGAGTTTTGGAGGAAGTCTCGCACGAAATGTGTTTTTGAGAGATAGCAGATGCACGAAGCCCTATGTTTTTCCATACAAAGTCCGTCCCCGAACCTCGATGATCTACCTCTGCGGTGCGACGGTTGCGAGACGGTCTCGTGTGTGGTCGGATCATGCTCGGATCATGTTCGGATCATGGTCGGATCGGTTCCGCATTGTAAATGGGGTTTCAAGTGTTTTTCGTGCATGTGCGGCCTACGGAATTCCATTGTGATTTGCAACTGTAGGATCGTTCCCGCAATGTAAATGGGATTGCAAGTGGTGCTGGTGGATGAGTTGCCGATGGAGTTTTGAAGGAAGTCTCGCACGAAATGCGTTTTTGAGAGATAGCAGATGCACGAAACCCTATGTTTTTCCATACAAAGTCCGTCCCTGAACCTCGATGATCTACCTCTGCGGTGCGACGGTTGCGAGACGGTCTCGTGTGTGGTCGGATCATGCTCGGATCATGGTCGGATCATGGTCGGATCGGTTCCGCATTGTAAATGGGGTTTCAAGTGTTTTTCGTGCATGTGCGGTCGACAGAATTCCATTGTGATTTGCAACTGTAGGATCTTTCCCGCAATGTAAATGGGATTGCAAGTGGTGCTGGTGGAGGAGTTGCCGATGGAGTTTTGAAGGAAGTCTCGCACGAAATGCGTTTTTGAGAGATAGCAGATGCACGAAACCCTATGTTTTTCCATACAAAGTCCGTCCTCAAACGTCGATGCACGAAACCCTATGTTTTTCTCCATTTTGGTGCTAATGATTTTCCTTCTAAATATAATTTTAAAAAGTGTTTCAAAATCGTCTTTTTTCCGCTCTGGCGTCGAGATCCCCGGTTTTGGAGTTACAATTTCCGACGCTGTTGCGCGTAGTTCTATTGTGTTTTGCAACTCGGTCTCTGCAGATCGCATTGTAATGGCTGCGTCAAGGTTGCTTCGTGCTGTGGCTGCATGCGTAATACCATTGTCTTTTGCAGCTGGACTTCGTAAATCGTATTGGAGTGGCTGCATGAAGACTGCGACAGTGATTTGTCAGCAGATTTTCTCCATTTTGGCGCTAGTGATTTTCCTTCTAAAAATATGCTCGCTCGAATTCCAGCTTGCACTTGGGCCCGCTAACTGTAGGCACAATTTAACAGTACCCAGGGTTGTTTACTACAATTTGCACCCTTTGCTGCCTACCATGCATAAAATAGGTCCCTACAAAATGCATCGTTTTTTTTGAAGTATGTTCTTTGGATTCAATAGACAATCCCAAGTGGCATCATTAAAAAACGCAATGCATTTTGTAGGGGCTGATCTTTGCTCTGCAAACCTGATCCTTCTTTTTTGGGTATGCAAGTTGTAGCCATTTCTGTCCCGGCCTTTCCCTTTCCCCAGGCTCCATTTTTTTTCACAATGTTTGGTTCCCATTGTTTGTGTTGGTACCGCAAGCCACTGTCAAGCTTAAGCTTGAAAACACACATGAACAATGAGTGAACAACGAGTTCCTCTATTGTTTTCTCTTCTGGATGATGCATTTGCATATATATATATATAATTGCTACCCCCCCCAAGACCTACCTTTTTTGGGCTTATATGTGTCAGATAGTTGCAGTTTTCCTTCCAGACAAAGTATGACTTCGTTCAAGAAACAGTACCCCTACAAAATATAGAGTATTCCTCTAAACATGCAGTGCTTTCTTTCTGAAGAAGCGCAGTCTTCCTTTTAAACAAATATTAAGCCTTCCTTCAATCATACAGCATTTCTTTCAAAACACCAGATTCTAACATTTTGGATAAGTCTGTGTTTTTGATGCAACAGAGTAAGAATAATATCTTGATCCGTATTTTTTAATCTACAGTGAATATAGCTTCATTATAGATTCCATATACTTTAATATACCAGTAATTTGACCATAAAGATATCTTCAATAAACCTTTAGTAAACCGATTATATATATATGTATATATATATATATGGCACCCCCCACAAGTCAACCAAAACATGACCCAAAACTGCAACCAAAAATATAAGCTCAAAATGTGCATAATTTACGGCAAATACCAGTAAAAAACACAAAAAGGTAGGTCTTGGGAGGGGTACCATATAATTTTGTGTATATAATATACGTATATATATATATACACAGACACATGTAAATGCGTATATCTACACATCACGGGGGTATACGCGGCTGACATCGGAAAACACCTGGACCATCCTAACCTACAATTTCCATGGACCATCCTAACCTACGATTCAAAATGCAAACCCTACCATTTGCACAGTCCATCCTGTCATGTTGATAAAGTCAGCCAAAAATTGATAAGATCAAGTCCCCTACAACTTGCACCTGGTTTTTGGCCCAGGATCAGTTTCCTACAAAATGAGCCCATCCTACTTTGGCAAATTTTGAAACCCTACAATTTGCCTATGGGATCTCAAAAGGTAGGGAACCCAAGCAAACCATTTTTGTAGCTAAAATTCGATCCCCCATCTAAATATCCTTTTAAAAAGTGCTTCAAAATCATCTTTTTTTCGCTCTGGCGTCGAGATCCGGTTTTGGAGCTACAATTTTCGACGCCGTTGCGCGTAGTTCTATTGCGTTTTGCAACTCAGTCTCCGCAGATCGCATTGTAATGGCTGCGTCAAGGTTGCTTCATGCTGTGGCTGCATGCGTAATACTATTGTCTTTTGCAGCTGGACTTCGTAAATCGTATTGGAGTGGCTGCATGAAGGCTGCGACAGTGATTTGTCAGCAGATTTTCTCCATTTTGGCGGCGCTAGTGATTTTCCTTCTAAAAATCCTTTTAAAAAGTGCTTCAAAATCGTCTTTTTTTTGCTCTGGCGTCGAGATCCATCCGGTTTTGGAGCTACAATTTCCGACGCCATTGCGCGTAGTTCTCTTGTGTTTTGCAACTCGGTCTCCGCAGATCGCATTGTAATGGCTGCGTCAAGGTTGCTTCTTGCTTTGGCTGCATGCGTAATACTATTGTCTTTTGCAGCTGGACTTCGTAAATCGTATTGGAGTGGCTGCATGAAGGCTGCGACAGTGATTTGTCAGCAGATTTTCTCCATTTTGGCGCTAGTGTTTTTTTGTTGCACGTAGGTTTAGAGCAGTGGGAAGTGTGGGGCGTAAAGAGTGCAGTGTGAAGTGTGAAGTGTGAAGGAAGCAGTGGGAAGTGAAAAGTGTGAAGTGTGGAGTGTGAAGTTTCAGTTTGGAGTGCGAAGAGCGCAGTGTGAAGTGTGAAGTGTGAGGTTTGGAGTGTGAAGGAAGCAGTGAGAAGTGAGAAGTGTGAAGTGTGGACTGTGAAGTGTGAAGTGTGAGGTTTGGAGTGTGAAGTGTGAAGTGAGAAGTGAGAAGTGTGAAGTGTGGACTGTGAAGTGTGAAGTGTGAAGTGCGAAGTGAGAAGTGTGAAGTGTGAAGTTTGGAATGTGAAGGAAGCAGTGAGAAGTGAGAAGTGTGAAGTGTGGACTGTGAAGTGTGAAGTGTGAAGTGTGGAGTGTGAAGTTTGAAGTTTGGAGTGCGAAGAGTGCAGTGTGAAGTGTGGAGTGTGGAGTGTGGAGTGTGAAGACTTTGCTTCGTCTCTCGCTGAAAAAATCAAACGGTTGTCGAGGGAAGGACACGGTCGGGACAGGGTGTCTTTGAACTATAGGTCATTTATGTTTGGGAAACTTCCGCCGCCGGCTTGCCCGGGTCTATGTTATACAAATATATAGAAATTAAATATACTTTAAATGCATGCGTTGCCTTCAAAATGGTGATGTTCCATAGCCTTCCAACTTCGAAGCCTGCCATGGTGGACACATCAGACACCAGGCCTTTTGGTATTCTTCAAAGGTTTGTAGCACTGCGCGGCTCATGGCACGCCTTGGGCCCCCAAAAAAATTAGAGCTAGTAAATAAGCTGGAACCCTTCCCAAGAGATTATATAGTAAATACTCCCCTCAAACCCTGGTTTTGTACTGAAACAATTCATTGTGAGTGTCTAATTGCGGGTATCTAACGTTAAATTAGTAGCTGGTAGGAGTGTGGTATTAATTTCCTCCTTTTGTGATGAATCATTTGTACTCACTTGTAAGGAAACCTTTGGCCGGCGACGTCAACAGAAGCTTCAAGAGTGTAGTCGGGGGTCTGCATAGGAAAGTTGAAAAAAGAAACTATGTATGTATGTATGGATGGATGGGTGGATCTATGTATGTATGTAATGTATGTAATGTATGTAATGTATGTAATGTATGTAATGTATGTAATGTATGTAATGTATGTAATGTATGTAATATATGTAATGTATGTAATGTATGTAATGTATGTCATGTATGTCATGTATGTCATGTATGTCATGTATGTCATGTATGTCATGTATGTCATGTATGTAATGTATGTAATGTAATGTAATGTAATGTAATGTAATGTATGTATGTATGTATGTATGTATGCATGTATGTATGTATGTATGCATGGATGTATGTATGTATGTATGTATGCGCGTATGTGTGCGTATGTATGTATGTATGTATGTATGTATGTATGTGTGTTTTGTGTATGTATGTATGTATGTATGTATGTATGTATGTATATGTGTGTGTATGTATGTATGTCTGTCTGCCTGTCTGTATGTATGTATGTATGTATGTGTGCATGTATGTCATGTATGTATGTATGTATGTATGTATGTATGTATGTATCTATGTATGTATCTATGTATGTATGTATGTATGTATGTATGCATGTAGGTATGTATGCATGCATGCATGCATGTATGTATGCATGCATGTATGTATGTATGTATGTCAATTTTTATGTCTATACGTATGACCGCATGTCTATGTAACATGTATGTCTGCGTATGTCTATGTATGTCTATCTATGTCTATGTATGTCCATGTATGTCTTTGTATGTCTATGTATGTCTATGTGTGTGTATATATATATATATGTGTGTGTGTGTATGTGTGTGCATGCGTGCATGCATGCCTGCCTGCCTGCATGCATGCATGCATGCATGGATGTATGTATGTGTGTGTGAAACGTCTGTACGGACGTAAAACTTCATCGGGGGAGCATATATATTTCATTGTATGTTTACAAAAGCAGGGGATCACCGGGGTCCCGGGGGGCCGGTGATCAACGAAGACACCTCCCCGGGACCCGTGTAAACGTACCTGCTGGGCTGTGGTGGTGCACCTGGGCGCATTTAAGTCGCAGCTGGTGGCCACCATAGCCCATATATATATACATATATATGTATATCTCTCTCTCTCTCTCTACTCTAATGGCAAGTGATGGGACTCAGTTCCCGACGGATCACTCTAATGATCCAAGTCTTGTCTAGTGTGACTTCCATGGTGGCTCCGACATGGTGCCGTGGACCCGCTTGAGGGAACCCTTTTTAGGGTGAATGTTGACAGGCTGGACTTCCGAATTCACACATTTTTAACTCAGCAATCTAAGTAGAGTGAAAATGAGTGAAACAGCTGGCCTTACTGTTTTTCACCTCTTTTGTGACTTCTCGCCGCCCCTGCTGTCCTAGTGCTTCCTTGGAACTTTCACTTCTACCTGAGTGAAGTCACGCCGAACCACCAGAAACCTCTTATTTCGCAGATGCTCAAGCTTTTTGCTGTGAAACATGACATGTGCTACTGAAGGCAGATGGCATGTCCTTTTCCTGCAGGTATGGTCTTTCTGGTTTTTTGGTGGGGTAAAACATGTTGTGCACATTTGTGCGCTTAATTCGTTTGAACTTGAACAGCTGTTTACTGCCCATGTGGCTTGATCGACCACGGTCCCGCTTGCGGGAATAACGCACGAACTTCTCGGATCGAACTGAATCCCATTTAATTAACTGTTGTTGTTTCATCGCTCTTCATAAACTAGTTCCCCATTCGGTCCCCTATTTCATGCGTTCTTCCCTCCCCAGGTAGGTTGGGTCCTGTGCGTGCCTAGGTAGGCGTAGGTTTCGCTATGTTAGGTTGGTTCAGGCGCTTCCGTCCTCCCTTCCCTCCGCTGGTCTTGTTCCGTGTCCGTCGGCCTCCGCTTTTCTTTTCCCTTGCCCTTTCAGGGTTTGCCCGCTCCGGGCCAAGTGTGTGAGTGTTGGTGTTTGCTCTCTCCCTCTTCTTTTGCGTTCCCCTCCTCATGTCCCGGTTAAATATGTTTTCATTTCACCATCCTCATTCCCCCCTTCATCCTCACCTTCACCTCATTTGCACGGGGAACACCTTGCCGAAGGCAGGGTGCGTGTGCGTGTGGGTGTGCGTGTGGGTGTGCGTGTGGGTGTGCGTGTGGGTGTGCGTGTGGGTGTGCGTGTGCGTGTGCGTGTGGGTGTGCGTGTGTGGGTTGGTGTGCGTGTGGGTGTGCTGTGCGTGTGCGTTTGCGGGTGGTGTGTGGGTGTGTGGGTGTGTGGTGTTTGTGTGTTTGTGCTTGCTTGCTTGCTGCGCGGCGTGCGCTGCGTGCGCGTGCGTGCGTGCGTGGCGTGCGTGCGTGCCGTGCGGTCGTGCGTGGCGTGGCGTGGCGTGGCGTGGCGTGGCGTGGCGTGCGTGCGTGTGGCGTGGCGTGGCGTGGCGGGGGCGGGGCGGGGCGGGGGGCGGGGCGGGGCGGGCGGGGCGGGGCGGGGCGGGGCGGGGCGGGGGGCGGGGCGGGGCTGGCGGGCGGGGCGGGGCGGTGCGGTCGGGGCTTGGCGTGGCGTGGCGTGCGTGCGGGCGGGCGTGCGTGCGTATGTGTTTGTGTGTGTGTATGTGTTTGTGTATGTGTATGTGTATGTGTATGTGTATGTGTATGTGTATGTGTTTGTGTGTGTGTTTGTGTTTGTGTGTGTGTATGTGTATGTGTATGTGTATGTGTTTGTGTTTGTGTGTGTGTGTATGTGTATGTGTATGTGTATGTGTATGTGTATGTGTATGTGTATGTGTATGTGTATGTGTATGTGTATGTGTATGTGTGTCTATGTGTGTGTATGTGTATGTGTATGTGTATGTGTATGTGTGTGTATGTGTATGTGTATGTGTATGTGTATGTGTGTGTGTACACTGCTATTCACATGCAGAAAACTACAACTGGACATTTGATGACTATGCACGTTATTTTTTCCGAATTCATACGCCAAAGACTATGCACGTTATGTTTTCCGAATTCATGCGCCAAAGACTACTTAACAGCAGGGGGCTGCAGGGAATGTCATAGTTCTGCAGCCAATGAAGACGGCTATGACATTCTGTGATATCGATCCGGGACGCTGGATCGACGTACCTGCCTAATCATGTCTTTCCATTTCCGCGATGGGATGTGGCTAACCCAAGAACCACCTTGCCGATTAATGATTTGGACCTGGTTTCACCTGTTTATCAAGGATGATGGACTCAGGAATTCTACCAGGCATGTACAACCACATCGTCATTGCAGTTCACTTCCAAAAATCAACAGTGTGCATTAGTCATGTGTCCTATACAGACCATGACCTCATCATCCCTAATGGGGAAGAACAATCTTGGCATAGTGTGCCGAATCCGCCCTCTACGGAGGCAGAAGTTGAGCGAGTAGCCATAGGGGCTGCTAGAAGTGATGGCAATAGCCGAAGGGGGGTCAAGGACAATTGAAGGGTGGCATAAGCCGAAGGAGTGCCCAACGGGCGAATGGTGCCCATAGGGCGAAGGTGGCCATGTGCCGAAGGATTTTATTGGCCGGGAACCCTACTTCTTACTGTCATTTTATGAGTTTTCACCTTCTCTTTCAAATCAATTTACAATTGTGAGGACAAGAGATCAATTTGAAGAGATCTAGAATATAGGAAGACCTATCACAAAAGTGTGCGGACACACATAGTTTGTGATGCTCGAACCAAGCAGAATGTCAAACACGGTAGGGACCTTATCGCTGCAGATGTGTGTACGATCTTGATTCATGTTTTCGAGGTTTTCTACTGAGCGAACACTTCAAACCAATCCAATAATTGAGACCATAGTCTTGTGAAGTACCTCCTTCGCCATGCTTATTTTCACTGGGATGTGTTAGCTACCGACAGATACAAGGCGCATCTATGGGCTCACAGTGGGCCCCAGTTGTATGTTCACTAGTTGCCCTACATCGAGAGCACACCTACAGCATGCTTTTTGGACAAGCCATTTTTTCTGGAAAACTTTTTAGTTCCTTTCGTTATGTTGACAACCGTCTGCTTTTGGGTCCACAACAACTCACTGATCGCCTTCGACAAACTTGCTTTTGGAATTTAGACTTCTACACCTCGCCCATTCTTTTGGAAGAAGTACAGGGTTTTGATGCACTTGGATTCAACATCAATCCACATCAACGTACCATTACATCGGTATTGCCTTGGGACACAGTGATACGCACTTCCGCTGGTTTTGGACCTAGAAGCTCCATGTATACAGGTCTCATTGCTCGAACACGTCTAATTTTACAAAATACTTTTCCTCGTGAACTTCAACTTCCTCAAGTTCAAGACCTGCTCGCCCTTCATACCCTTCAGGAACCTAGATACCGCGAATGCATTCCTCAGATCATTTCGATTGCCCGCAGTTTTGGACACAAATGGACCAGACAACAATTGACACCGTTTGACTGAAAAGAAGCCGTTGTAGCTGCATTTTGGTTTTGTGCTTTTCATTCCAATTGCAACTTTGCAACTGTTGCAACTGTTCAAACGTTTTTCTGCAACATCCCACCCAAAACGCCTGGCTCGCAGTGTGATATTTGTTTTCCGTAATTGATTATATTCAGTTCTCCAGCTTAGTTTACGTCCGTTGTTCTACTCTATATGGTTCACGGTACTGCAACACACTGGCTTAAGTGTTATATAACTGTGATTTAATCAATCCATTTACTGTTTTCATCACTGCGTTCTATCTCAACCACCTGACCTACGTGTTCTACGCGTCGGAATCTCAGTTTTTGGCGAATTCTGCCCTTCGTCCATAGACAACTAATAAACGTTCATTTTAAACGGATTTGTGGAAGAACAAGAATACAATCGATTTGTGTCCATTTCATTTCGTGGTATCCATGTTTCAATTGAAGTGCAGTTCTCTTCACTTTTTAACACTCCAAAGTCATACTGTCCTTGCTCTATTTGTTCCACGCGTCGGCAACCCAGAAGTGTCACCTTCCTTATGAAGACATATGTATATATGTGTATACCGCTCTCCACACGCAAAGTGTTGCGCAATCTGCAACAAACAATTGATGTTCGTGAGGGACAAGGGCACGATAACTTTGGATTGCATCATATTCAATTATTTCGCTAATACAAACTTTGGATTGCATCATATTCAATCATTTCGCCAATAACAATTAACACCTTTTAATCTAACCATGTCCTTTCCATTTCGACTTTATTTATCGCGATTTCTTTGATCTACGTGGTCTACTTGCTCTACACGCAGTCTTTCAGAATTTGCCTTCCATGTGAAGGGGGTGCCCAACGGGCGAATGGTGCCCATAGGGCGAAGGTGGCCATGTGCCGAAGGATTTTATTGGCCGGGAACCCTACTTCTTACTGTCATTTTATGAGTTTTCACCTTCTCTTTCAAATCAATTTACAATTGTGAGGACAAGAGATCAATTTGAAGAGATCTAGAATATAGGAAGACCTATCACAAAAGTGTGCGGACACACATAGTTTGTGATGCTCGAACCAAGCAGAATGTCAAACACGGTAGGGACCTTATCGCTGCAGATGTGTGTACGATCTTGATTCATGTTTTCGAGGTTTTCTACTGAGCGAACACTTCAAACCAATCCAATAATTGAGACCATAGTCTTGTTATTCAAGACAGATACAAGGCGCATCTATTGGCTCACAGTGGGCCCCAGTTGTATGTTCACTAGTTGCCCTACATCGAGAGCACACCTACAGCATGCTTTTTGGACAAGCCATTTTTTCTGGAAAACTTTTTAGTTCCTTTCGTTATGTTGACAACCGTCTGCTTTTGGGTCCACAACAACTCACTGATCGCCTTCGACAAACTTGCTTTTGGAATTTAGACTTCTACACCTCGCCCATTCTTTTGGAAGAAGTACAGGGTTTTGATGCACTTGGATTCAACATCAATCCACATCAACGTACCATTACATCGGTATTGCCTTGGGACACAGTGATACGCACTTCCGCTGGTTTTGGACCTAGAAGCTCCATGTATACAGGTCTCATTGCTCGAACACGTCTAATTTTACAAAATACTTTTCCTCGTGAACTTCAACTTCCTCAAGTTCAAGACCTGCTCGCCCTACATACCCTTCAGGAACCTAGATACCGCGAATGCATTCCTCAGATCATTTCGATTGCCCGCAGTTTTGGACACAAATGGACCAGACAACAATTGACACCGTTTGACTGAAAAGAAGCCGTTGTAGCTGCATTTTGGTTTTGTGCTTTTCATTCCAATTGCAACTTTGCAACTGTTGCAACTGTTCAAACGTTTTTCTGCAACATCCCACCCAAAACGCCTGGCTCGCAGTGTGATATTTGTTTTTCCGTAATTGATTATATTCAGTTCTCCAGCTTAGTTTACGTCCGTTGTTCTACTCTATATGGTTCACGGTACTGCAACACACTGGCTTAAGTGTTATATAACTGTGATTTAATCAATCCATTTACTGTTTTCATCACTGCGTTCTATCTCAACCACCTGACCTACGTGTTCTACGCGTCGGAATCTCAGTTTTTGGCGAATTCTGCCCTTCGTCCATAGACAACTAATAAACGTTCATTTTAAACGGATTTGTGGAAGAACAAGAATACAATCGATTTGTGTCCATTTCATTTCGTGGTATCCATGTTTCAATTGAAGTGCAGTTCTCTTCACTTTTAAACACTCCAAAGTCATACTGTCCTTGCTCTATTTGTTCCACGCGTCGGCAACCCAGAAGTGTCACCTTCCTTATGAAGACATATGTATATATGTGCATACCGCTCTCCACACGCAAAGTGTTGCGCAATCTGCAACAAACAATTGATGTTAGTGAGGGACAAGGGCACGATAACTTTGGATTGCATCATATTCAATTATTTCGCTAATACAAACTTTGGATTGCATCATATTCAATCATTTCGCCAATAACAATTAACACCTTTTAATCTAACCATGTCCTTTCCATTTCGACTTTATTTATCGCGATTTCTTTGATCTACGTGGTCTACTTGCTCTACACGCCGCTACCTCAGAGTGCCTTCTTTGGAAAGACCTGTCCATGAAGATGCAGGTGCGTATACACCTAATCCCAAGCATGAATTTCATTTTCGAATGAGTTCAACGTTGCTTATATTGACGTGATCTGCTTGCTTCATTAGGCAGTCTTTCAGAATTTGCCTTCCATGTGAAGGCCTTTGTGTGTGTGTACACTGCTATTCACATGCAGAAAACTACAACTGGACATTTGATGACTATGCACGTTATGTTTTCCGAATTCATGCGCCAAAGACTATGCACGTTATGTTTTCCGAATTCATGCGCCAAAGACTACTTAACAGCAGGGGGCTGCAGGGAATGTCATAGTTCTGCAGCCAACGAAGACGGCTATGACATTCTGTGATATCGATCCGGGACGCTGGATCGACGTACCTGCCTAATCATGTCTTTCCATTTCCGCGATGGGATGTGGCTAACCCAAGAACCACCTTGCCGATTAATGATTTGGACCTGGTTTCACCTGTTTATCAAGGATGATGGACTCAGGAATTCTACCAGGCATGTACAACCACATCGTCATTGCAGTTCACTTCCAAAAATCAACAGTGTGTGTGTGTTTTTTTTTCCAACACACCTTTTCTGCTGAGCTTCGAAAAGGTCCGTGCCAGCCTTCAACGAAGATTTGTTATCGTTGGTTCCTTCTATGGAATCTGCAAGGCCATGTGAGACAGAAAGAAATGGAGAAATGGTGAAAGGATCTCGTCCGTTCTTCAAATTGGAAAAAGCTCATCCTGGAATCTCTTCGAACTTTGTCACTCTGGGTTCATGGCTCCATCTTGGGCCTGTAGCAGTTGCAGCAGGGCCGTGTCAGGAACTGCAGAGGCCTCATCTGATGTGTTGTCCTTGGATTCAGTCAATGCCTCCAAGTCCTCAGAAAGATGGTTGGCCTGAGAAGGTGGATGATACAGCGGCAATCGCAATCGATCTGTTCTCACAAGCCAAATCACTGTCACATTCTGTGTAAACCAGGGAGGAGCATGCCAAATGGGTCGCGGTGCAACCCCGTCTTCAGTTTCCAGAAAGGCAGCCGGTTGAGTGCTGGAGATCATGGTTGGTTGAATTTTGAGCACTGCTCTGCAGTGCCCCGCCAGATCTGATCCAAGGTGGGCAATGCCCGCCACTGGAATGTATCCAGAGAAATCATATTTCAAGCTGCTATTCACGAAGACAGGCATGTTGACTTCAGTCTCCAATCCAATGTTACACATGCTTCTGCTGATATGGCCTGCCTCATCTTGATAGTGCCTGTCGATGGCCAAGCATAAGCAGGAAGGGGCGCCAAGCAAGGCCGCTCGCATTGATTGCTCCTGAGACCAGGCACTAATCAAATCATTGAGTGTGCATTGTCCAACTGCATGCATGCGATGTGTAATGGTCAAAAGAATGGGCGTGTGAGCAATGCTGTGATCCAAGGAAATGAAACCCTCTGCAGTGTCAAGCCGTCTTTCCCAGCTCATGTCAAACGCATCTGTCTGGAGCCATTTCAGAAAATGCTGTGCACATTCAGCACTATCTTTCTGGCCCTGACTGGGTCCCCAAGCGCACAAAATGTCTTGAAACCAACTGTAGTCAGCCAACACAGCAGTCTGCTTTGCATGCCGTGTCAAAAAGTCAGTCAAAACGACACAATGTGGTCCCCACTGTTGGATGTTCGGCGCATCCACATTCAAAAGCGTCCAAAGAACACAGTAGAGGCAGCTGTTGGCATAGCACCAGTTGCTGTCATTGTGCAGCTTCAGTCCATAAAAGCATTTGGGCAGCTTTTGAAAACCTTCGACGTCAAGGGCAGACATCAGGCCTCCTGCTTGGGAGGGGTAGGGGTTTTGGTCTTGCCCTTGCCCCTGCCCTTGCTCTTGCCCACCATGGATTGCAAGGTGGTTGCCAGTGGTGATTGTGTCAGCGTGTGCTGCTTCATGGTTGCACCCACTGCCATCCAAATGGAGTTGTGCTGCAGTTGGAACAGCAAGTCGTAAGCTCTGTCGCTCCTCATGTTGATTTGCAGCCGCCATGGAATGGCCCTGGTGTCGTGAGAGGTCGGAGTCCTGAGTGCGTGGAAGCGTACCACCATCTCTTTGTCCAGCATCATCTCCTGCAACTCCGTCAGATGCTGAAACATTTTCTGAGAGCTCACAGGTTGCTTTTTGTCGATCACCAATTGTTGCTTCTGGCCATCCCAACGGTGGAATGGAAAGCTCCTGTCCGCCAGGATCAATCCCATCTTGACTGACTTCTGGTACAGCTGCTCCGTGTCTTTGCTCTCCACGATCTTGCCCGCATTGTGCTGTAGCGCCTTCAGCAGGGTGAGCACCAAGTGTTGTCTCAGTGGCTGCAGCTGCTGTTGTGTCTGGCTCTCCATCTGTGTCTTCCAGACTGCAGACTCCTGAATCAAGAGGTGAAGTGCGCCTGTTGGATCTGGATTCAAAAAAAGAATGAATTGATCTGTGCGCCGAAGGCTGTTCAGTTCTTGATCGTGTCTGATCAGCATGTGAGCCATGGTGTTGAGAAGAGCCAAGGCCTTCCCCGTGGTCTTGTCCTGCTGAAGTGTGAGCTCTGCTTCGTCGCGGTTGTTTCCTTCTCCTCTGCGTGGTGCTTTGGCTCGTCTGGGGTTGGGAGCCAGCTTGAGACTCTGATCCTGCAGCAGCGGCGCCAGAGCATTGAACGTCTCCATCATCTGAGCCGAGATGTTCTGGTCTGAAGGCTCCATGCTGGCATCCAAGCTGAAGTTGTCCGCCATTGAGCAGAGAGCCAAGCAGCAGTGAGATTTGTATCAACACCGGGCACGACCCCCTCAAATGGGAAAGGGCCAAAAGCACTCGATCCGACAAAGGTTCATCAGGGCGCAGTGCAGATGGCAGGTTGAAAATCAATCCACACAGCTGGCATTGGTAATCATCTGGATTGAGAGCATGAACATGTGGTATCAGCTGTTCCATGTAGAACAGAAACATGGGATGGCCACATGGATGCTCCTGCCGCAAGTGAAGAGCCATCTCCGCTGTCAAGGGTCTGGAGCCGCAGAAGACACATTGTGCGCGCAGCAGTTGCAAGAGTGCCTGGTCCTGCCAAAGAGCATCAAACTGCCGATGAACCAAAGCTTGTTCCAATCTGTATTTGTCTGCTCTGCACAGTTGATCTGAAAAGATGGAAATCAAGACCTGCTCTGTGATCACCGTGGGCGCAAAGGGTTCTCGATTCAACCTGTGAAAACACATAGCCAACTGGCGCAATGGCATGCAAATGTGATTGGCCCGTTTGATACCCAGTGATGGGTTGCAGCAGCATTGTTGCTGAGAGAAAGCTTCAGTCAACACCATTGTGAGTCTTCTAGACTGCCTGTGTGTGTGTGTAACATCTGAATAGATGTAAAACTTCTTCTCTCTCTTTTTCTTTCTTTGTCCTCTCTCTTTCTAATTCTAAATTAAATTTAATGCAGGGGAGTGGAGCAGGCCTGCAGAGCTCCACTTAACAAAGCTCTCTGCAGTGTCCTGAGGATATCACTGGAGACGTCCAGTGACGTACCTGCGTTGTTGTGATCACCGGTTGTTCAGGGTTTGCTTCCATTCAATTGTCCATGTCTGCTGATGGGATGAGGCTCAACCCAAGAACCTGCATGTTTCAGGATTCAGTTCCTGCCGGATCATATAATGATCCATTCTTGTCTAGTGTGATTTCCATGGTGGCTCCGACATGGTGCCATGGAGCCATTTGAGGCAACCCTCTTCAGGGTGAGTGTTGACAGTCTTGAATTCTGAATTCACACATTTTAAGTTGAGAATTCATCTAAGTAAACTGCAACAGCTAGCCTTACCGTTTTGCACTTTTGACGAAGTCCTGCGGCTCCTGTGGTCCCAGGGATTCCTCGCCACACTGCCTGTCTACCAGAGCGAAGCCGTTCGGAACATTCAGAAACCTCCGTTTTTGCAGCAACTTTTGCAGCGTCATATTGCATTATTTCACGACATATGATCAGGCAGGCACACGTCTTGCAGGTGTGGTATTCTTTCCTTTTGGTACTCTGGTGAGGTTAAACATATTGTGCATCTAATTCGTTGGAACTTGGAAGCTGTTTTATGCCATTGGGGCAAGACTTGACCACGGTCCCGGTGCAGGGAATAATCGCACGACCTTTAGGCATCTAGGGACTGAATCCTGGTTTTAATTAATTGTTTTGGTTTTCCTGTCTGTCATCAACTAGTCCCCCATTTGGTCCCTAATTCTCCCCGCGTGCCTCTCCGTAATGTGTCGTGGGGTTTAGGTGTGTGCGCTGTTTTTGTCAGGTCCGTTTCGCCGTGTAGGTTGGTTCCGGAGGTCCGTCTGTTCCCCTCCCCCCCCTGCGCTGTTTTTGGCCGTTTGCCCTTCGTGTGTCCGCTTTTTTCTTCCTCTTGCCTTTCAGGGTTGACCCGGCTCCGGCCGGGTGTGTGTGTGTAACATCTGAATAGATGTAAAACTTCTTCTCTCTCTTTTTCTTCCTTTGTCCTCTCCCTTTCTTCTCTCTCTTTTTCTTCCTTTGTCCTCTCCCTTTCTAATTCTAAATTAAATTTAATGCAGGGAGTAAGCACTGGAGACGTCCAGTGACGTACCTGCGTTGTTGTGATCACCGGTTGTTCAGGGTTTGCTTCCATTCAATTGTCCATGTCTGCTGATGGGATGAGGCTCAACCCAAGAACCTGCATGTTTCAGGATTCAGTTCCTGCCGGATCATATAATGATCCATTCTTGTCTAGTGTGTGTGTGTGTGTGTGGGCGTGTGTGGGCGTGTGTGGGCGTGTGTGGGCGTGTGTGTGGGCGTGTGTGTGGGCGTGTGTGTGGGCGTGTGCGTGGGCGTGTGCGTGGGCGTGTGCGTGGGCGTGTGCGTGGGCGTGTGCGTGGGCGTGTGCGTGGGCGTGTGCGTGTGCGTGGGCGTGGGCGTGGGCGTGGGCGTGGGCGTGGCGTGGGCGTGTGCGTTGCGTGTGCGTGTGCGTGTGCGTGTGCCGTGTGCGTGTGCCGTGTGCGTGTGCGGTGTGCGTGTGCTGTGTGCGTGTGCGGTGTGTTGGTGTGGGTGTGGGGGTGGTGTGTGGGGTGCGGGTGTGTGTGTGTCGTGGTGTGTGTGTGTGTGTTGTGTTGGTGTGGGTGTGTCTGCGTGTGTGTGTGTGGTGTGCGGGTTGGTGTGCGGGTTGTGTTTGTTCGGGTGTTGTGTTGTGCGGGTGTGTGTGTGTGTGTGCGGGTGTGTTGTGTTTTTTCGGGTTGTTTTGTGTGTGCTTGTTTTTTTTTTTTTCTTGTTTTGTGTTGCTTTTGTTTTTTGTTTGGGGTGTGTTGTTGTGTTTTTGTGGGTTTGTGTGTTTGCGGGTGTGTGTGTTTTTGTTTGTTTTTTTGTTTGTGTGTGTGTTTTTTTTCCATACACTCCTTTTCAACTGCAAGGTACGTGCCAGCCAACTGCGTTGTTGCAGGTTCCATATTGGAATCACTTGGCCGAAGACTATCCAGCAGCGCTCAGATGTATCTATTGCACTTGGAGAAATGGTGTCTGGTGACATCGTCTCAGCATCTTTGCTTTGTTGGAGAAAATTCAAAATGGGCTCTCAGCTCTGGCATGGGTCATTGGGCGCTTCGGCAACCTCTGCATTACGCAAAACAGCAAGGATGTCATTCTCAGTGTTCTGCATGGGTGCTGGCATTGGTGCAGTGTCAGCATTGGCAGCTGCTGCTTGAAGCGCAAGCCGGTAGTTGGGCAGTTCAAGGCAATCTGTGCGAATCAGCCAAAAAACTGTGGTGTTCCGGCTGAACATCTCTGGGATCCTCCAAGTTGGCTTAGGGGTCTCATTATCCTGGGTCAGGAGCCAGGCTACAGGTTGGACCTCCGGAAGCACGGTAGGCAGGATTTTCAACAAAGCTTGATAGTGGCCTGCTTGGTCGACTCCTAGATGGCTGGCAGCTGCAATGATCACATAATTGGCTGTAGTGCTACGAATACCATCCGTGAAGACCGGAAGCATCACTTCGGAATCAAGGCTGATGGCACATGAAATCTTGTCTGCTGGTTGGCCATGCAAGCAGTGCAGTCTGTCAACATGAATGCATACCACAGGAGCTGCAGTGAGCAAGGCAGCTTGAAGTCCATCAGCCTGGTGCCAAGCAGCCACAATGGAGTCCAAGGTGCATTCATTTTGCATGGCAAGTGTGGGTGTGAATTGCATGAAAACTGGCATGTGCACATCACCGCAATCAACACAGCTGGTCTGGTCACCACTTTCAAGTCTGCGCTCCCATCGCAAGTCAATGGCTGATGAGGACAGCCAAAACAACACAGATTGAATAAACTCAGCATTGTCTTGCTGATTGCAAGTTCTGCCCCAACATTCATAAAGCTGCCGAAACCACGGAGTGGTTTCAAGTTGCACTGCGCGTTCAGCGCTGGTTTGCACAAGTGCACGCAGCTTTTCAAAATGTGTTCCCCAAAAGGCAAAAGGAACTGTATGCTGTCCAAGAAGACTCCATAAAAGGCAGTAAAAGGTGACGTTGGCAAAACACCAATTTCCTGCATTTCCAAACTTCAATCTGCAAATAAGATTGCGCATCAAAATCAAAAGGTCAGTCGGAAGCACTGCAGCAGCCTCTGTCAGGATTGCTTGTTCTTTCCCTTTCCCTGACCCTTCTGAGGCTGAATCATGTCTTGCAGAGTCTTGGCAAGGCCGCTCTGGCGCACCACATGCGGCTTCAGTGCTGTGCCCTGAAGCATCCATACTGCATTGTGTGTGAGCTCCCATAGCAAATCGTATGGTCGATTGTGGCGCATGTTGAGCTGCAGCCGCCAAGGAATGGTTTTGGCCTGATTCATCACCGCCATTCCATGAAAGCGGACCACCAAGGTGGGATCCCGAAAGTCCTCGATGAGCTCCTGAATGTGTTGAACCATCTTGTTCATCTGGACTGGCTTCTTCTTGTCCAGCACCAGTGTCTTCTGATTGTGATCCCACTTCATGTACGGCCAAGAGTGGTCCTCGAGCAGGATCTTCTTGTTGAGACAAGTTTGGACCAGCTGGTCCGTCTTGGGGGCTTCGGCCACCTTGGTCAGTCTGATGAGGAGGTCTTCCAGGAGTCGTTGCATCAGGTGCTGTCGCAGAGGTGTGGGTGGTGGCGGGTTGGCATTCTTCCGTTGAAGTTGCCATTTCTTGGTCTCCTCCAGCATCCCCTGAAGCGCACCTGTCTGTTCCTGTTGGAAGTACCATACGAAAGAGTCTGTGCTTTGCATCAAGCTCCAGTTGTGCTCGTGTCTGAGAAGGAGCTGTGCCATCACCCTCATGCATTGAAGGGCCTGTTGGTTCCCCTGTGTTGTCTGGTCTCCTGCGGCTTGTGCGGGCAATCTTGGATCTCCTTGTCGGCGCACTTTCTGGTGTCTCGGATTCGGAGACAGCTGGGGTTGCTCGAACAGAGGGGCCAGAAACTTGAATGAGGCCATGAGTTGATCCTGCTCGCTCTCCTCCATGCCAGTCATGCTCAAGTCTCCCACCATTGAGGGCCAATGCCAGCAGCAGTGCACATTGCAACAAATTGGGACAATTGCCGCTGAGATGGCCTAGCACT